ACATTATCACTTCAGCTTTGTGTTACAGAAGAATTTCATCCACGGTGAATTTGTAAAACAATTGCAGGTTAAAATCAGTCTTCTCAAAGCACCTGTTACTCACAGGTTACTCACTGATTTTCACCATAATTTTTATTCCCATTGCTAGCATGAGAGTTCTTTGGATAGGTGTAAGCTAATTACAGCCAAGGTAGAACTGAATTTTTTAACTGCTTATGACTGCTTGGTCAGCAAATGCTTAATTTTTGACCAGGGGGTTATTCCACTCCATGTGAAGGTTCTTGGAAGTCATCAGTATGCTATAACCCCTACCTTTAACATACATGGCTACACAGCCCTCTCCTTCTGCCTTTGCACATTCTAGTATTTGTGAAAACAGAACATGCCTTCTCCTAATTTTGTTTCAGGTGACTTGACTTTAAGCAGGTTTCTTTGTATACAGTAACAGGGCTCAAGTGAAGAATGAAATAAATCCATAACTGGTGCATTGTCAAAAATGGGGAAAAGTGTTATTTGTATATTTTTGTAAATATGTAACATTTAATGGCAGTTTTGTAGTGACGTGCTGTTTTTGAGAAAAGGAAACAAATATATGTTTGAATATGCTTGACGTAACACTTAACTGTGATTCAATTGCACAAGTAATAGCTTAATCAAAAAGTCTTGTGCAATATGTAGTGCACACACATAACCAAGTATCTGTTAGCGATCCACAAGCAAATTTTTGGCAACTTTTAACAATGGTGATGAACTGTGCAGTACAGATTGTCACAGTCTCTTTCAGCTTCCAAACATGTAGCAGGCAAACTACTGTATACGTACCTGTGTACTCCACTGCATCCAAAGGTATGCATTTGTCCTGAGAACCTGCACTCCAGGTTTTTCTTTAATAAAATTTGGTTCTAAACTGTTGATTGCTTTGTTTTTCTTTTGAAGCTTTTCATGGGGTTTGTGGAGGGGAAACTCTTTAACCAGTCCCCACGGTTTGTGTGTCTATGTTTAGCAGCAAACGACTCAACTCCGCAACACTGAGCTCAAAGGCTGCAGCAAACCTTCATTCTCCTCCTCTTTAGCCACTCCACTTCATCCTCCTACACTGCAGCTCGACTCCATTCCTAGGGAAAGAGGGGAAAGTCCTTTTTCCTGTTCCCTGGGAGGTGTTGCGGTGGAGCTGGTGGAGGGTGACATCCTGTGGTGAGTCAGAAGCCGTGCAGCTGCTGGTCTGTAAGTCACTGATCAGAGGCTATTTCTGTCTTGCTAAAGAATTCTGTAGGTCTCAGCCGTGATCTCCCTATGCTAGAGCGCCATCAACAGAACAAAGATACGCGTGTTCTGCCCTCTCTATGCCTTTATTCCAATCTCTTCTTTTTATTAATTGCCCTTCCTTCATCCCACTCTTTCCTAAGGAGTTGCCTGTGCTATAGAAGCTGCATTCTCTTTGCAAAATTGAGGGGTCTGCAAGTCAAACTTAGCCTTTAAGCTAAGTTTGTAGCTAAGATGTAGCTGTAAGAATTAGGCCCTGACTCAAAATAAAACGAAGCTACGAACTATATTCAATCATATACAAAGCCAGCAAAACCAAAATCATCAGAATTATGCCCCTTGGACATGCTCAGCTACTACATATGATATTTATTTCACTCTGCCTACAGTCCCTGGAAATGAAATGCAAAATTATAGTGTATTTTTATAAAGCCTTGGCCTTAGTGTCCTAAAACTTTTCTCCTACTGGTCCTGGCAATCGCTCTCTGTCTTTGCAATGGTCACTGAATTGCTAAAGTCAGAAAATGCCTTGCATCCCTACAGACTGGCCATTCTTTCCTGCTTCAGAGATTAGAGATGAGCTGCTTTTGGTGTAGCTCATGTTTCCAGGCTGGAACAGAGTTTATGGTTTGCTGAGAGGTGGTTGCTGCTGTGTAGCTCGGTGCCTTCCCAAGGAAAGTGACACTGGTAGAATAAACACTTGATGTTCTTTTCACTGCCTGTTGCCCACAACAGGGAAGAACAGAGGTGCTGCTAATTGTTGTGGTTGTGGATGTGCAATGTGAATCTTATTAAACCTCATACTGGGCTAAAGCAGCAACATGAATTATTACCTACTGATTTTTTAATTAGCCATACAAATTTTATAGATTGCAATGAAGTTTTAATAGGAACACAAATGGATTATTTATTCACCGAGTGGATATATTTTGAGGATCTAAATGTGGACAATTAAAAAGAAAAATAATTCAGACAAGATGAAACTGAATTTCCTCAGTCTGCCCTAGTTCAGCACTTTCCCAGGGTGCCTGCTGAAGGAGATGGCAGCTGGAACAGGCTGTGCTGTGGGCAGTCTGACCCTGCCCTGTGGCACACCACACTAAATGTGAAGCTGGATGCAGGAATGAAGATTGAGGCTTCCCCTGCTTGTGCAGCTCAGCTAGGAAACACTGCAATTTGTCATTTTAGGTTCTCTAATTCTATACTGTGGCTAGCTGAGACTTTAACTGCAGTTCATCTCTACAAAAGCAGATTGTTGAATCTCAAACGACATCTCATTTTCCAAATTTAGTGCTCTGATATAAATAAAAGCAAAACTCAAAGAAATTATAAAGTTATTTTTAATGATGTTCCAATAGTCCTTTCCAAGGAAAGCTCCTGATTTGGAAGGTCAGGAGTGAGAACAGACACAGCCAAGCTGTTCCCATAAATGAGACACTAAATAAAATTTGCTAATATTTAACCTGAAGGGCTACTTTACTTCAGAAACTGATTTCCATGGAAAGACAAGAATCATTGCTTCACTTCTGTTTCCTTTGCTATCGTCATCAAAGTCATATTAATAGCTATACTATTTTGAAGTTTAACTGGTTTCAACATCATCATAAGTCATGTCTCTATAATAAAACTTCTGAGGCATAAACAACAGTCAATATTTTTTCCTGTTTTCTCTTAAGACACTGATTTTTTTTTTTTCCCTTTGTGATTTTTGCCTTTAAAGATGTTTTGCTTTCTTATGGATCCAGCTGCTGGGGAGAAAATTTACTGTACTCTGACCCTCATGGTTTCCAAAATCTGAAGCAAAATAGTACAAATGCTGCACAGTGAATTTTGAAAGAGATAAAAGAATCCATTCCTGCCATTCCATCATCATACCAAAAGCTGATTTCAAAAAAAGTCAAAATCAGCAGTACATGCCAAAACCAGGCTAAATAAGTAAAAATTCTAAGGAATAATTCAGTGAGAGCAATTAACAAGACTATTTAAAAATTAGTAATTAAACCAGGAATTAAGCTTATGTTCCGCTCAGGACCATGTAACTGCAACTCTACTGGTTCTACAAAATCTCATAGGAAAATTATTCCCTTGTAATCAGATTACTGATGAGGAACACCCTTGACAAGATTTTTTTGTTATCTAATAAATTGTGAAGGAATAATTTTGCACTACCTTGATCTTAAAAGATTCTTGCTTTAGAAGTTGAAAAGAATATGATACATGGCTTTAGAGAAGGGAATGTTTTTGTAACTGCTGGTGTGAAAAAAAGAGTATTATTTTTCTGTAAAAGAAAACAGCTCCATTTATCAGTAGTAATGTGTCAGGAGAGCAGGGGGAAGCACACAAGGACACTTAAACAGAACACACTTCCAGCCTCCAGCCTCCCTGTAGCTGGACTTTTCTGTTTTGAAGCAGACAGCTTTGTGCTTGATAGTTTTAAGTAATTACTGTCTGCCACAAATTTTCTTTATTATGGACCCATATAAACTTTTAGCATCAATAAAATTCTGTGACAAGTTCTGTAGCTGAACTGGGCAGTTGTTTTGAACCTGATCATTGATTTTGATACCCTCAGTGTTTGTACTGTTAGTGGCAGGGACTATTTTGATTCCCCATTTTTATAACCTGTTAACACAGCCCCCTCCTCAAGATTTTTTTTTTTCTCCCACACTGTAATGACCTTTTCTTTGTTTCTTCCTTAAACTTCATTGCAATATGAATAGGATTTTTCCTTGTCTGGAGGGATTGCTGTGCCCCTTGTACCATTTCTCATAGAGTTTATTTATGGCAGTCAGAGCCCAGACTTTGGATAATGCTGTACAGGTCCAAAGGCAGATGATTGTGACACCAGCAATGCAGATGGTTTTCTTTTTTTTGCGATTTGCTTCTGCAAGTCTTATGTATCTCAGAGAGAGACTAGAGATACTTGCTGCATTTTAGACCACAGGATTATGGCAGGTTTATTTTTTTTCCCTGAGGTTTTTTTAGGTTACTTTTTGTTTATTTTCTTTTTTTTGTCTTTAATTGTTATTATGCAGTACATGGACCTAGCTATTAAAACTCCATTATGATCTTGGAGGCTGTAACTACAGAAAAAAAACCCCATTAACTACTTTAGAATGTTGCTTCTCTCAGTTTGGGAAAATAAAATGTATATTCTACTTAAGCTTTCCACTTTATAAATTTGGTAATAATTGTGGTGTAACAAGAACCAGAGAAAAATCTAAGAAAAGCAGCAAGGAGTAATTACAGCTTAACACTTCTCAATCTCATCTGTCAGTCATCTGTAAGAAATTGCTACATTCATCTTTAAGTAGACTGGTAATCAGCTCAGTTTAATTTTAATCCACTTTCAGTTCTTAGAGGTAATTTTTAATGTTTTACATATTGCATAATTTATTAGTGAAGTTGATCTAAGCAAACTGGTGCAGATGAAACAGGCAAGCAGGACGTGCTGCTAGGAGCTCTAAATACATCAAATTCCACATTTCCATTGCCAAGAGAGTCCTTGGGCTACATTCAAGTTGCAGGAGGTCACTGCTCAGTTAAATGGGGATACAACTGATACCAAAAAATACTCATGATATTGTCCAAACATTCTTCAACTGACTGGCATGGGAGAATGGTTCTCAGCTGAGTCTCTATTGCAGGAAAGCTGCTAAGGTGCCATCCCAGCACCTGAAGGTGCTTCTGGAACTGACAAACACCAAGAAACAACAATGCAAATCCTTTTTTTTGACAGGTAACTTTATTAATAATGGTCTGGGATCTGTCGCACCTACCAGGTGCCAGTCTGTTTTCACACTTTGCAAGACTTTCTGAAGAATAAACTAGAAAGGCATAAAGTTAGTTGAAGCTACTGAGACACACATTTGAAGGTGGGTTTATTTTGGACATTTGTTGTTTTTTTTTTTTTTTTTATTAACAGAAGTGTCCATGAATGTGTGTCAAAAAGAACTTAAATACACTGAGAAATACAGTAGAAAGGCTATATTTACAGTCAGTTATAATGGGCACTGCCAACATATCCAATAACAAAAATAAAACAAAACCTTTTTTTTCATGTTTCTATCATGCTTTTTTCACAGAGATTTTTTTAAATATGATTTTGTTTTTTAAAAAATACAATAAGGAAATAATTACATTCTTAATATGAGAACATTATCATACAACATACACCCATGGCCAATTAATTTGAAAGTGTCTAACAAAACTTGATACTAAATTAATATTCTCCATTTGAAAAATCAAATTGCCACAATCATCTCATTAAAAAAACGCCCTTTATCCCCCAAAGTTACAGTCTGGGTTTTTTATAAAAAAAGCATCAACCATTGAAAAAAACCAAACAAAACAAACAATTTTAAAAAAGCACCTGGTACAGTAACAGGCATTTGGTGAGGAAGCATAAGTGTTACATTTTCTTAGAAGACATAGAAATGGTTCAAAATACAAGAGTTTTCTTTTAAAACAAAAGTCATGCTGTTCTATGGCTGAGTTTGCCTGGTGATCCTGGAATCTAAAGATGGTGAAAAATACAAGTTCTGTTGCTCTTTATAAAAAATTGTGCAGCAATAATGCTATTCAAGGCAACAGAGTACATTTCACAGCACTGAGAGTGGTCTATAGAGAGGTTATTTCCCAAGCTTTTTGGTTTTCCTCCTTTCAGAACCTTGGCTGTTACACAGAATAGACTAAAGTGGTGGTGGCTTTGTGGAGCCTTTGCTGGAGGAAGAGTGAAAGATGTTTAATTTAGGGGGCAGCCCCTGTGCAGCAGGCACTAAAGGAAGGCTGCAGCACACAATTTCCATTTGCCTGAGCAGAGACTGACACACATCCACCTCAGGCTCAGATTAAAACCTGTCCTTACCAAGGAATTTTTCTTTTTTTCTTTTTTTTTTTTTTTTTTTTTTTTTTTTTTTTTTTACCATGGGATAAGGGGGTGGAAAGAGACAATGCCAATATTGGGTAAACAAGACAAGTGATCTGGCTTTTGACTACTCTGCATTCCTTGATGCGGGACCACTTCTTAATGACAACTGTTACATCACTGCTAACGTTGACTAGAAGCCTAATTTGCATTATAAATATGTACAGATATAAATTAAATATTTATTGAAATATACAAATAAATAACTTAATTTGAAATAAAAAGCCTAAATGAACTTACTTTTGCCTCAAATTTGTTTCTGCTATTATTTATGGGTATTTGACGCTGTTTAGTCCATAATCACACAGTACAGAATGTGCCCCCAAGTTAGAGAGTTAGTAAGTGACCTAAACCAATATTAAAAAATTGTCTTTTCAATGAAAACCACACTGACACTTGCTTTCCTACTGTATCTGCATTCCTGTGGCCCTTTGTACCACGTACAGCCACAAGAAGCAAAGAGCCTTTTCTCCTGCTGGGCCCCATTCCTACACTGCTCAGGTCAGCGGGGTCCCTGGCCCGAAATGCCTCTGGGAACGGGACACAGCCCCATCTCCTGCCAGCTGTTAGGTCTTTCTGACAGATCTTTGCCTTCAAATCCCACAAGCTCCTGCAGGAAGTCCTCTGCCATCCAGCTCAGCTGAGAATCCCAGTGAGAATCCCTCCAGGAGTTGCACCCATTCCTAAAGGTAAGAGATAATCTGCAGGCTTGGCCATAAAGGGGCAGGATCCTTGATAACTGCTGTCGTGCCAACTTCTGTGATTTTAACTGCAGTCTTACCTAATTATCAAGACTCCAACCCTAACATCTGTGATTAAAATACTACTTATATTTTGAGATAATTTTTAAAATTAATTTTCTATTCCTCGCAGTTGAGGAGGAAAAAAATATTGAGAGTATGTTTGAAAGCTCTCCAAAGGCCTAAAAAAAACAGAAGAGAAAAACTTAAAATAAGCCATCTTATACATTCTCCCCCTAACCCCCTTCTGATTTTTTAAAACCAATCTTGAGATTTTGAAGGGCTTCAGTGGCAATTTACTGCATGTAATTTCCCAGGAATGACATGGATAGAGACAAAGAAAAACAGATTTTTGTAATTTTACAGACTAAAATGCAAGATGCTGTTTCCTAGTAATCAGAAATGGACTCCTGTTTGAGAAAATCCCCAATTATTTGTTAAACTGTTAATAAAAGAGTCTGAAAATTATTACCTTTTCAGTCCATCTTCCTCAAAAATAATAGCTGAGTTCTGAAAACAGACAAAGGAAACTAAGTACAGCAGTGTTCTATACCTCAAGTTTAACAATACTATATTATAAAAAACAAAACAAGACTGACTGCATAAGTTATTCTGAGTTGCCATTTTCTGTTGAGGACTAAGTTCAATTGTTTTCTTTTTCTTCTTTAAAATGTATAGAAAAGAAGCAGTATCTAAAAATACCTGTTTGCCTTTTAAAAAAATCAGGAACAAGTCATAGCTCAAGAACATGACCTTTGAAAATGACCGGTGCTTCAGAACAGCAATAAGGAGAACGTACAAAAACGCATCTGTCTCGAAGTTTGGCAGCTTTTTATCTCCCAATGACAAAAGCATCTGTCTAGAAAGTGTCCAAAGAACGCTGCACCAAGGAGTGGCTGTCATGCCACGGAGGGCGGTGGCCCTGCAGAGCTGAGCAGGCACTGCTGCTTCTGCCACCACATCTCCTCACCTTTGTCTGGCCACGTGAGCAGCCACCAGCAAAGCCTCTGCTGGTGAGTTAGACCTGCCCCGTGGCAGAGTTCCAAAGGCAGTTTTAACCTGCAGGAGTCAGGATTTCACACCATCTTCAGCAGTGTTCCAGCCGTCTGATGCACTGTAATTAACATTGCTGGTTCTTCGCTGGTTCAGCAAAGTAAATTTTCAACTGTGACTTTATGCTCCTTTTTAGTTCCTATGGCTGGGGTTTTTTTTTGGTTTTCATTTTCTCTACCGGTGAAGTTGGAAACAAGGAGTTACAGCTAATAAAAAGGGGCACACGTAGTTACACAGCAATACAGTAGAGGGAATACAGGCAAATTAGAGCCAAGCTACCATTAACTTAACAGAGTTACAAAACTTCTTATGTTTTATCACTTGATGTGACCTTCAGGTGAGTCCTTTGCAGCCTACGTCTTGGTCTGTAGTAGGTAAGGCCTTTATGGAAAGTGAGTGGCTTTGTTATGTTTATGTTCCATTTTTCATCTCCCATTCCTGGAAAGGGGGGAAAAAAGATACAGAAAACATTAAAAGAAATCAGCATATTTCGCTGATGTCATTTTATCTGCTAAGCCACAACTCGATGTCAATAACAGTTGTTCCATTAAGTTTGCTGGATTCAGCCCAAAAATTAGGGAATGCTAGCAAGTATGTTCTGATAGTCTCTGCACAGCATCCACCCTTCCACAACTATTCCAGCAAGCTATTTTCTAGTGCAGTGCAAATAAGCCATGTTTGTATTCTGCAGAGGGGACTTCTGGAGCAATTCACACCCCCACAGCTGGTGTAAAGCACTCAGCTCTCCCTGAGTAAGGGAGAGGCTGATTTAAACACACAAGGTTCTCTAAATGACTCATGTGAGCCAGCAGGAAGCCCTCAATATCTCTCAGAGCTGACAACAAGTGATTGCTTTACTGCTCTTCAATTTTTTTATTATAAGACTCATGGCAAACACATAAATTTATGACTCAAAAGAGCTACTTAGCAGAGAGACTAACAGGCAGGGTTAAGAGAAACAAGTCAGTTTGCACTGCATTTGTTTCCCTTATAGATAATCCAAATTGAGCTATTGCCTGGCAAGTTAAAGAAATTGCTTTGACTTTCTGTGCCTCAGTTTCCTCACCTGTTAGCTGAGGACAAGGACACCATCCACAGCAAGAAATGTAATCTATAATGCTTTTGGTCATATGTCTCAAGCAAGGTATTGCCATTTCTTCTGCCACGTAAGTGAAAATCCTGAGATTGCTACAGCTGAGCCCCCAGGTCAGTAAAACCTGCAGCTATCCAATGTCCCCTGCAGCATCTCCTAACAGCACACAGGAACAGAAGGGCTGAAGCAGGATGGGCTCACCTTAGGACATCCACCCTGTACCCCTCCCTGAATGACACCTTACAGCCATCAGGAACTACTGGAGATCCTCAGGAGGTGGCCTCTGGCTCCAGCAATCCCCTTGGAGCAGCTGCCCAGCTGCCCTCGCCAGGCACTGGGGGCTGCAGATTCCTCTCTGACCCACCAGAGAGAGACACTGCAGGCAGCCTGCTGACTTGGCTTCCAACCTGAATTCCTGAATTTAACACTCATTCCACAACATTTAAGAGCTCTGACTGAAATCCATCACTTATGCACGTAAATAGCTTCTCCTGCTCCTGAAAGCAGTAAGAGCATTAGTCTGGCTGAACAGCTGTATGGCCATGACACCTCTTCAGCTGTTGTAAAATAACAGTAAAGGTCACAGTTGGTGGCTGCTTTAGCAATGTAAGAAAAAAAAATCCCTTGGGTTTGAAATTAGACAATAATTTACTTTGTTTCTAAACTTGTGTTGGCTTTTTTTTAAATTTAAACAGTGCTTTTATTAAAATTCAGTGTATTTTAAATACTCAGTTTTACTCTTCAAATTACGGTAGTTCTAAAGTTAAAACACAGTACTGGTAGAAATTAGATTACTTTAAAAACTCTATTAAATCTGTGTTCTCTATAGATATGCTACCAAAGCTATAAAGGAAGTCCTTGGCTAAGCAACTGGGAGGAGATTTCTTTGAAGTGTTAAATAAGCATTGAAAGCAGAAGCTTCTTTAGCAGGTGCAAAAGGAACCTTTTGTTTCTTTCCACTGTTCCTGCAGGTTCACACCAAGGAAAGAATGTCTAAGTCAACACTGACAGCCTGACTGGGAGCTGGGAAACTGGGACAGCTCCTTTTCTTCTCCAGTCCTTGAACACAAGCAAGATGTAAGATGCTGACATTCACCAGCCCACAAGTTTAAAAAACAAATCAGAAATACTAATTGCAGTTTTCTTGCTGCACATAACAATTTGGTTTTAGAAACTAATTTGATATTTAAATTAATATGTGAAACGCTTAAATAATTGCTGTACAGCAAGGATATTTGAATCTTTTTACTTCTCTAGGACTACTGATGCAGACTATTATTTTCCATATTTTAACTGGAGTCTCCATTTCTAGCCAAGCACAGATTAGGCAAAATTGCAATTGAAATGCATATTAAAAATATGCATTATTACTTTCTAAAAAAAGTTTAAAGATGCTTGCAAAAAGAAAAGCTAAAATATTTGAATGTATGTATGCATGTGTATGTGTATGTACAATGTGAGTCCTGAACAGCCAATCCCCAATTGCTGCTCTTTCTTACACTGGATTTGTCTTGCTGCTTCTCTCTGTATTTCCTTCTAATGTTAGTGATCTGAGAGAAAGCTTTTTGTGGCAGAGCTTCCAAAGCTGCTGTCCCAGGTGCCTGCTGTCCCAGCTTGCAGGGCACAGGCGCAGCGCTGCGGGGTGAGCACGGCTGTGACACGAGGCTGGCTGCAAACACCAGGCTGGCAGGTGACAGGCTCAGCACCCTCCATGCAAGGGAAAGGCCAAGAAGGGAGGCATTCACTGCATTCGAATACACACCGGGGGAAAAACCATATTCTGACATTTTGAACGTTTGCACAACTCCCTCACAGCTGGGAGGTGTGCCAGCTGCTGGAGATGCAAGCGCGAGCACAGACGTGGGATCTGCTTCGCTCCCACAAACTGCACTGACATCCAAGCATGGAGAGCCAAATCCTGCTCTGGGACACTCACGTGCGACGCCCTTTCCTGAGCCACATCCACAAGGCCTGAGCTCACTTGCAACTGCAAAAGGCCAAAAGAATTGAGAGCCAAATTCCACCCCCGCACATGTACAGCGACCCCCGAGCGTGGGGGTGCTGCAGATGTGCACCTGATGGCAGCTGTGGCTGCCAATGGGCTGGGAACAGATTGGGTTGCACTATCTAATTCAGCAAAATTTCACTCTTAATATTTAGTGCATGAGGTTTTAGGGAAAAAGCTGTTAAAGCTGAATTGGATACTTTGAGTTGTTTTTCCCAGCATGGGAAAAATATGCTTAGTTGCTCCATATCCTTTTTGATTAGTCTAATCCTCTAATCCTATATCCAAGATTCCTCTGCCAAAAAGCTTGACCAACTTATTGCGCCATCCAAAGCACACTGACACCAAGCAACACAGCAGGGCTTTTCCTCTATGGTATGTGCTGAGCATAAAAAATGTACTACAGGAAGGTATTCTTTGCACCAAAAACATTTAGGTTTTTATAAAGCCCTGGTTTCTCCAGCTGTAACGATCAGATGTCTGGATTTAATGTGCCTGTCCAGCACAAATCCATGCTCCCATTTGCAAGCACTGTGCTCTGCTAGACCACACTCCCTGAGCACTGCTGAGCTAACATCCACATCTAAGACAAAGTGTCCAGTTAGAGATGATATCGTTATGGCACAAATTAGGCTATAATTGGAACACACAGATAAGCTTTAGAGCACATAAATCCTTCCTCAGGTTTGAAACACAAGCTGCATACTTCAAAGTTGATTAGAACTGAAACCTATTATGCTGAGTGTAATTATTCTTAGTTGGATTTAAATGAATCAGGCTAACTGGCAGGAAAAAGCAGTTGACATCCATGCAAAGGGGGTAGAAGAAGGGTGAGAAAGCTGTTTCAAATGGTGTATCAGAAAAAAATAATTCTATTACGATAATTTAATAATAAAATAATTTTTTGACATGCTGATTTTTCGTTTAGGTTCCAGGCTTCTGCTCAGACACTAGAAATGTATATAATCAATGAATACATGTAACAATAGTTACTTGAAGAAATCCCAGTAGAGAAGACATCAATGAAAAAAAGGAAATAGCCTTCATGAACAAGTGGTTATGATTATTGCTGTTTATAATTACAACTAGCAGTGAACAAAATAAAATACTAATAATAAATATTACTAATAAATACTAAATAAACAAAAGCTTGGGCCCAACACTATTAGCTGTCACACTTGGTTATGTGTGGCCAACATGTTTATGTTGCCAGCAAATTCAGCCCAGAAGAATGATCACACAAATCCCATTTAAACTAAACCACAAAAATTAGAAAAGAGGACAGCGAATTTCAGCCTGGTACTTGCAAGACAAAATTGAAGTAATTCAACTTTTACTTTAAATGTACATTGAGCAGATACTTGCACAACACACTGTCATTAATTACAATGTACATCTATTCTGTTCTTGCAGTGGCAGGAAAAGAACAGACCCACTCTTGTGCCATTTCTAATCACTGTAACAGTGCTCTTTTAACCACTTCTCTGCTACACAGAGTAGTGGACACATGGACTGTCTACACCAGACTACTTACTTTGCAAATTAAATCTATAAACTACAGAGAAAAACACGGAATCAGAGTAGAGTCAAATCTGTCTCCCAAACTTACTCACCAATTCTTCTGCAGAAGGTTCCCCAAACCAGCAGTATTTATATTGTAATATGAATAATTCAGATATTCTCTTCTTAAGGCTAAATAAGACTTTGTAAAAAAGTATGAAAAAGCTCAGAAGAAGACAATTAAGACATCAGTGCTCTCACCTTTGCTTTTCGAAGGACATGGCCTCGACATGGAGAATTGTTTGATGAGGGAGGTCGCTTCAGAGCTGCTGCACTGTTCACAGGGATGGAGCACTCAGTGTCACTGGTATCACAGCTGGAGATCGGAGAGTTTTCCAAAGTTCGGTGCTTGAAAATTGGAGACTAATAAAGAGTGAAAAGCCTATATTAAGTTTCCTCCAAGTAGTCACCAAGTAGTCACATGTGCAATATGTTCTACTTTAGATTCAGAACTGCAGAACTCTTTTTTAAAGAAATTATATTCATAATAATGATGAATAAATGAAAAGGAGATTAGAAGAAACAAAACAATGTGCATGCATGTTCTGGGATGAAAATTGAAGTTTCTTTTCTGTTAAACAACTATGGGTCTCTGATTAAACAACCATGGATAATCCAGAGGAACTGATGTATCCCTCTCTATCTTTCTGTGATGGCTGCTTCAGACATAGATCTATAGCACAAGCTGGGACTGCCAAGCTCCACCCTGAAGGTGTGAGATGCAGCCCTTGCAGAGTGTGACAGAACTGACAGGGGACCAGCACAAGCAGGTCTTCATCACTGCATGATGACTTTGTGCATTTAAATCTTTCTGGGCCGGAGCAATGTCTTGGTTCCTGCACTTATGCAACCACTGAGGACAAGGTGCTGGCTTTTTGCACATTATCCTAACATATCCTGCCTGTGATTCCTATGTCTACCTGCTCCCTGCTGCTGCAGGAAATACAAATAACATGGAGAGGCATTTAATTCTGCCCTCATTTCTTGGGCTTAATAAACCATTATACAAATCTCAGTTCCTACTCGTTTTGCGCTGGAGCTGGGAATGCTGAGCACTCTCAGCCATGGGACTGGGATTTGCATGTTCAATGGCTTTGCATACCTGTGGGCTTGATGTTCCTGATTTGGGCTCAATAGCCAAGCCCAGTGTGATGCCACCAGCCAAGGCTTTCTTAAGGCTCTCCTTCACCTCAGTCAGTTCCAGCTCCAGATTGACACGCTCAGCCTCCTTCTGCTTACACTCCTCTTCCAGCTTCTTTAACTTGTCCTCAAGAATCACTTGGGTCTTCCTGCCTGTCATTCACAGCAATTTTATTATTTCAATAATAATAATGTTAAATTGACACTTAGAGAAATTGTTTTCTTTCTAAAAAGTAAGCAAACAAGTTTTCTACATATCAGTGACAAGAAAAAAAAATTAGGTACTTTACATAAAACACTTTTTTTTTCATGTAAAAAGTTTAGTAGCGTAAATCAAATGCCTTCCATCAAGTGATATTCCTAGATATCTAGCCTGGTTTCAAATCAGTATTGTTTTCTTTATTTTTCTGTATCATAAAAATATAATTAGCCAGTGACAAAAAAATTATTCCCATCTTCTGCTTACCTGAAGTTCTCACCAGTGTAATTCCTTAGGCATGGGTATACATAGACATGCATTTATAAAACAAGTACATACACTTACTCATATGTATTTTTATCTTATACATTTTGTACCTATATAGAAAGCAAATACAGACGTTACAGAGTATTGCTCAGCATCAGAACCTAACCTTGTTTAGGGTGACACGTCCTCAGCACAGAATAAAAAGCTGTTTAGATAACTAAGCCTAATTCTCAGGTGAGAATTCAGCACAAAAAAGCACCTCCTACCAGCATTGACTTCGATGGCAGCACGCAGATCTTTTCTTTCTTTCCGGAGCTGGGCCAGCCTGTTCCGGAGGGCTTCTTTTTTCTTCAGGAGCTCCTCCTCTTTGCTTTGTAATCTCTTTGCATCTGCCTCCACACGATTCTTGCCATATTTGTACTGCTCTGCATCTGCAAGTATCAGACTGCAGTTAATCAGGGTTTAAACTAACACACAACCCTGACTTAGTCCCTGAGATTAAACATGACACAAAGCATGTCATGGCTCGGGTGTTGCAACTGGATGACCTTCAAGGCTCCCTGCCAACCCAAACCATTCTATAATTCTATGGTTTGAGGAAAACGTTTGGCCTTCCTCTTCCACTGGCTCTTTCTCAAGGTCCATGATTTCTGCCAAGTTCTGCAGCACCGCTACAACAAATATATGGGAGTATGTTCTTTATATTTACATGAGGAAAATGAGAAATACCAGTTACTTCATAGCACACTGGTTTTGAAAAATGGCCTTGCCTTTCTCTGTAGTTCAGAAGATGGAAAGGAGGCTCCTCTCTAGCTATGAACCCTTAGTTTCTAATTGGAAGGGTCAGAGGAAAAACCACCTGCTTGGCCTTTTGCCTGGCTTTCATTCCTACTTCAAGTGCATCTTTTCTCACCTTACAAAAGAGAATACAAAGATGTTCACACTTCTTTGATACTTGGCAGCTTTCTTCTTCTTTTTTTAATTTCCCACACAAAGGCTTTCATTTCATGGCTCACATACATTTGTGGTCTAATTCCTATCACAGCCCCCTCTATAGCTCTGCTCCAGTTGCAGACTCAAAGAAGATAGGTCAGCTAAGAGATCACTTTGTCTGTCACATATCTGCAGGCACACTCTATGATATGAAATCATTCCTGATTAGAACAAAGAGCTGTTGAGCCAGTTTTAGTCAGTTAGAAGCTATTTACTTTTGTCCTTAAGTCTAACACCAATTTCTCTTGTTGCCATTAAATCCATGGCTTCTTAAATAAGACTTCATTAGTAAGTCCACTTTTGAGCAACACAGTGTTCTTGCTTCTATAGCAGCTCCTCACCCTCCTTTTCCAACAGGAATATAGCATTCCTCTCTGCTCCAAATGAAGGATCATCATCCTTCATTTTCCCTGCTGTCCTCATGACTTTGCAGCAGCCACAGCTCCACATTTCATATTTATCATTCCCCCATATGACAGACACCCTTTTCTAGTGTGGTGTGGCTGGAGTTAAGTCACCAAGGTACCTAAGGTACCTCCTGTTCAGACCCGGCATCTCCACCTCGGCCTCCAGCTGAAGGAATATAGCATTCCTCTCTGCTCCAAATGAAGGATCATCATCCTTCATTTTCCCTGCTGTCCTCATGACTTTGCAGCAGCCACAGCTCCACATTTCATATTTATCATTCCCCCATATGACAGACACCCTTTTCTCGCGTGGTGTGGCTGGAGTTAAGTCACCAAGGTACCTCCTGTTCAGTCCTGGCATCTCCACCTCGGCCTCCAGCTGACAAAAACCACACTGGTTCTGCACCTTGCCTGCCAAGACAAGAGCTCTTTCGGGCACCCTCCTGCCCCCACTCCCCACGGGCAGCAGCGAGGACAGACACTTACTGGATGCAGTGCGCTTCACACAGGAAACCGCCTCAGATTTCTTCGGCTGGCTATTTAAAGTTCTCGCTTTTCCGGTGACGCCATTACTAGTCACAGGAGGCTTCTTGCCTTTAAACTGTTTGAAAACAAAAGTACAAATGGGCTCCAGCTATTCCCGTGCCACTGGCATTACTTTCACCCTTTCATCAAGGGCAGGGCTTGACAGAAAGCTGCTTGCTACATCAGAGAGCCTTAACAGAGCTCATTGATTGAGCTGGAGACGGCGCTTCCTCCAGAGATGCCTCTGGGAGCTGCCTGCTCAGCAGGAGCCGTGCCAGCAATCACAGGATAACAAGGGGATGAACTCCCTGTTTCTGGCGGCATCATGGTTTCCAAGGTGTTTAGAACCCTGGATTTTACACTATTAAGAAAACTATTGCAAGGCAGGAAAACATGTACCTTTGAAAAAATTTTTACAGTAAAGACTCTTGAAACACAAGTTTTTCAGAGTTAATTTCACACAATGAAACCTACAGGGTTTTCCACACAAAAATTCAACATTATTTCTTATTTACTATATGACCTTGCCATCCTTGTGGGTATTTTTTTTTTAAACAATATGATTATTACATGTTTTTAAAATCCAGGAGTTAACACATCATTTTTCCCTTATACAACTTCTAGATACTACTTGAAAGCTTTTCTTACTTAAAAAAACCCTCTCATAATGGCCAGACAGGCTCACAAGATTACCAGGAACAGAGCATCTCATGTTCAAGGGGTTTCCATTTAGAGGACTGAACCCTGGAAAGATAACCCTGTCCTGACTGCTCATAGTGTCTCCATAGAGGATGCTCCAGCCAAGCACAGGGCAAATGTGTGCCAGGCTGTTCTCCTGCTTCCAAAGGTTTGTGAGGACTGACTGGGAGTGCACCAAGAAGCTTGCTGCTGCGGTAATTTATTGCTCACATCCACCTCCAATTCTGCAACTGCATTGAATTCCAATACTCCAATATGAAGTTTTTGTAAGGGTTAAATGAGTTAACACACAGTATGATCGGTACCTTATACAAGGGAATAATTTATCTTAACTGTTCCATGTCAGATGAGATTGAAAACCACGCATCACTGTGATATATTCACACTGTGATACATTTGCTTAAGCCAATGACCACCTTTCAGAGACCAGCTAAGGGCTCTGAGAAGGTTCCTGGCATGGCTGCAAGCAAGGCTTGCTCTGTTTCCCTGCTGGGCTGTGCCCATCTGCTACAATGCTGAGCTCACAGCACTTCGTCTGCTCTGTAGGCTCATGACTGAGGTACAAAAGCCTGCAGCCACCCTCAGAAAGCAGCACAGAAATAGCCTTATTTTTTTTTTATGGGAAGAAAATAACAGGCAGTAACATAAAGATGGCATATATGAACATATACAACATAATTTACTAAATATATAACATCAAGTTATGATATATATGCATATTCACAAAACATACAACCAAAGTATACATTATATATAGATTAGTACAATTCTAAAGAGCCAAATTTGCTGTTACAGTCAGGTCACAAATCACCTATCTTTTCTGGGTTTTTTCCTAACACATCTCTGCCTGAGGAGCCAAAAGGCAGCATGCATTCAGGTGAAGTGTGGAAGGTCACATTTATTTTTTTCTTATTATTCACCATCTGTAAATCATCAAGAACACGTTGGCAAAGCCTTTCCCAAGTACCACTACTTCCACATTGGAATTTATAACTTTGCAAACCTGCTTCATTTGCAGTGGGCTCACAACTAAACTCCAAGCACTTCAGTGCTAACACTAAGGTACTCTAAGAGTCCCTTCAGATAACAACCAGACAAACAGAACAAATAAAAAGCTTTGTTAAGTATTAAACAGTACAGTACCTGCGAGCCAGATCCCCTCCCCACAGCAGAGGTATTAGTGACAGACTGAGCAGAAGACAGATTGGATGAGACAGGGTATTTGTAATGGTTAGAGGAGGGTTTGTCAGTAGATAACCTATTGGGTTTCCTGTCAGCTGGCGGATAGCGCGCAAAGATTTTTGGAGACGGCAAGTTATCGTACAGGCCTGCGTTATCATAAAGCATTTCTTCTCCAATGTTCCTGCTACGAGAAGAAGGAAAGCCATCTTCTGGTTCCCACTGCAACACACACACCTGGGCAGTTAGTCAACAATGCACCATGCAGAACCTCCCAAGTGAAATTAAAACATTAGCGATGCTTTGGACTCCAGCAAGCCCTCGGTGCTGAGTGAGCATACACTTACTACTTAAACTATTTAGAAAGTGGGGGGAGGACACTGTGTGGAAAACAAGAACTGCATTCCATGGCTCACAGCCTCAGCCCTGAGTACAAGCAAACCTAACACCCTGACTGCACCTTCAGCTGGTAGCTGGAGCACCAAGGGGCAGAGGCAGACTGTGTTAGCAGGGGGATCCTCACAGTTTACACAGATGAATCCGTGGGATTACATCTGGTACATGAGTTGTTAAAAGTAATACAGCCTAGCAGTGATCAGGAGCCAAGTTTTTTCTAGCTTGTTTTTTCAATTTCTTCAGGATACATGTCTTTCCCATGAATATCAGTTGCTGGTATGCTAGCACATTTTATTTGATGGAGATTTCTTATTCTGAGCTACAATAACTAAAATAGCTCTTTTTTTAAAAAAATTTTAGAAAAATGGAAAGCTCAACAATAGTACTCCAGTGGTTCATCTGACTAACCTTAAAAGAAACCAACCTGACTGCTAAATATCCTTCCTTAACCCATCCTGGTCATGGCAGTACATACTCAAAGGCATGAGCACATAAAGAACTACACAAAGACTGCTCTTCATACAAGTAATCATGCACTGTTCCCAAGAGGAGATTTCTAATACCTTTTGGACATTACAGATGTATTTGCATGGACTGAATGTCCAGTCCATTTCACACTTTGAAACTACTAATTTCTCTTGAGTTCGCCCTTAGTGGGGTCTTTACACAATAGCCCAAATTAAGAGCTGAAATGGGCTGTAGCACCCCTTTAAACCTTCCTGAGGACCCCATATTGCTTTTGGTTAGCATCCACTAGATGTTAAATCCTATTACACATCTGCCTATGATCAGCTCTCAATTTATGAAAATGGAAGTGACCACAGTGGTTCTCCTCTGGGACAAGCAGCACCTGCAATCCTCAGGAATACAGCCACAGGGACTGAGAAGTGTTTGGATTTTGGTGTTTTTTCAACGGACATCAAAAAGTGCCTGGTGTAACTGAGTCTTTAATTTTGCCCTTTCCAGTGTGATCTAAAAAAATACCTCCTCAAGTGAGTATTATATTCAAGGACTTGGCAACAAATCATCAACAGGCAACTGCTTTTTAAATGCACATTGGCTCACATGCAGGTTAATGTAAACAATATGTCCCATGCCCTTATATTCTATAGGTGTGAGAGGAGTTTGCAACCACCAATCAAAAAAATATGAGTTCATCTGGAAACTGCCCAGTGAGGATCTTTACATAATACAGTTTTCAGACGTCCACGCATTCAACACATGCAAGCCATTTGTTCAGTGCAATTTCAGCTCTTACCGATCCGTTGATGCAGGGAACATCATCGTAATGAAGTGCCATTCCACTCGGACAGGCGTAGCCGTTGGCAGCGCTGCCCCGGTACGGATTTGTAGATATAACCCGCCTGTTCATGAAACTGAAAAACGCCAAGTAAAAAGAATAAAAACCAACACTTAAACCTAAGCCTTAATGATGAAACAGCAGTATATTCCCTGTGCCTGATCATGGAGCCTGGAAGCACAGAGATCCTCACTTTCTGCAGGGCAGTTTTTCTTTCTTTGCTACTCACACATTGCTGCTACAGCCAGCAACACAACATATGTTCCTGTTCTCCATTCTTACATGGGGGATATGATTGTGTGAGGGCCAGGAGGGCAACAGCTGTAGCTGCTCAGTGGCATGTTTACATAGGAACCTGCTGGTCTCTGTTACACACCAGCCTGACAGGGTCCCAGAAACGTTCCCTTGCTGTCTGCACGGGGGACAGGCAGGTGTTTCTGTGTGCATGCGTGCTCAAGGGGCTACAAACTTAGGAAATGAGAGAACCAATAACAAAATCCAGCAAAAATAAAAAAAAAACCCACATAATTTCAGTGAAATCCAAGTTAACAAATCTATAAAACTTTCCTGAATAATTACTTCCTCAAAACCTGCGAATTCTTCTTTTCTGTATCAGGGCTTTTGGCTGGCTATGGCACTATGCTTCCCAACTCTCTATGGGTAATTGTACATGCAAATACTCTATATGCTCATTCTCACTCTGTTACACATGGAGGACCTGAGCCCTCTGGAAACTTCAAAAGGGATATACATATATATAACATATTTTAATTTCTTCCCCCTTATCCTGTTCCAATCAACACTGTTGCTTAATAATGACCCCAAGGGTGAGTCTTCCTTTGTAGCAACTGCTGGAATTGAATAAGGTATAGAGTGAGATCCAAAATAATTCCATTCCTACAGTTTCAGGTGTACATAAATGGGAAAACAATGTTTTCCATCCCAAACAATGGAACTATTCAGAGTCTGTGCTGACATTCATAAAATATGATAAAGCACTGCTAAAGCAGAGAGGGTCTTCTGTAGTGCTGGCAGGAGCTCAGGAATGCTGTGGTTTCAACAGTTGCTTTCTTTTGGCTTTGGAATAACACGGAGTCCATTGAGTTTCTCATTCAGAGGGGCTCACCTGAGCCACGGGAAACCTGGGCTCACAGGAGGGATGAACCTGCCCAGCTCACTGTGAGCCCTTCAGGGCAGTGTGGGGATGAAAAAAACATTAGGCAGAAGCTTTTCTTACTTCAAGTAAACTAACAGCAAAAGGCCCAGGAAAACTCCATGATAAAAATGTTTTTAACTTTATCTTAACTTGTCAGACATTACTAGAGGGCTGCATTTGTTTCTGCTCTTGAAGAAGAGCATTACACAAACATTTCTGGTTGGTCTGAAGAACTGAGTTTGGAGTTGTTGCTCTATTTCTTTTTAGTTAAGAGGCTCTAATTACAGCAATATACAATAACCATGTCTGAAAACTGGGATCTTCATTAGTGGAATCTGATGCACCTGTAGTAACTATTTCCACCACCAAAGGAAGGCAGGATTTATCTCAGTGGTTACAAACAATTCATAGTCATTATTTCAATAATCCTCATTAATCATGTTTGCAGGTGCATCCATGCAAGTTAACTGTCTTCAGAAACTGCTGGAAGGAAAATGGAGAAACTTGCCTGGAAGCACTTTTTCCTTAAAAAATATTTTAATCATAATCATACCTAATGATTTAGGTGAAGGAAATTGATGGGACTGTTAATGAGGAGCTGATAGTTTTGCAAAGCATCAGTCTTAATAAGTGAATAACCGATAATCTAAAGTGACTGAGCAATAAACTAAGCTTTAATCATAACTGCAAATGATTTGGAATACTGATATTCATTCCATAAAGCGCAAATGTAGTAGTTCATTAACACTTAAGTACCATTGTAATTTCTCCTCATTTTCTAGCAGTAGCTGAAAATCAGCAGACAGCTCCTCTATTGCTTATCAGCAAGCCCTCACAGGCTCTTAAAGACACCCAATGAATTTTAATTAATTCTTAACAGGGAAATTCTGCTATTTTGCAAGTTGCTTGACATTGCTTTCTAACACGTGGTCTAGTTGCATATGTTTTTTCACTTGGCTCCAATTAGTACCACATTTATGCAGAAAAGGAAAGCCATGCAGAATTCAGGGGGAAAAGGTTACCATTCCATTTCTCTTAAACATGGCTATTGCTAGATGCTGACTGAAGCAAAAATACATGTCAACACAGGATAAAGTTTTTTAGCCCTATTAACTTCTAAACAAATATTAACTTTAAGTCTGAATGCTAAGTGCATTTTAATTCTATCAAAATTATTTGGTTTTCACAAAACTGAGCTTGTGTTAACACTGAGTCACACTGATTTCCATCAGAAGCCATTCAAACTGGACTTTGATTGAAGCTGGGCATTTTGCCTTGCTATCTTCTCTTGGAAGCTTGCTAATGGCAATAGGATCTTCTTTCGGAAAACTCCAAAACTTTTTTCTTTATTTTTTTCCTCCTTCATTTTCTATCTGTTTAAAGTCATGATGGGCAGATGGAGCGTGATTCTCTAATCTATTAAGCCACACAAATTCCAAATTAGTCTAGGGAGTGTCATCTTCCAGCAGGATGAGGGATGATGCCTTTGCCAGCTGTCTTCTCAGGCCACCCACTCCCTGACCACAGGGAACAACTGCAGCAGGGCATCCCCCTGTCCCCACTGTTTCTTCACTCCTGTTTATAAAAACCTCATCTAGCCAAGGAAAAATTATTTTATTTTCCCACCAAGGACTGCTTTAGTGACTCAAATGATTTGAACATGTAAATCACTGTATCTGCTAAGTATGCATTTCTCTTTTTAGCAAAGGATCAGTAATGGGGAATTCACTCTATTGATTTGCAATTTAAACAGTTTCCATGCTGCACCCTACAGGTGCTTTCTCAATTTCCACCTCTTATATTAAACCCCAGAAATTAATTGAACTGGGCTGGGTTTGGTAAAGTTTTTAATTAATCAGAAAGTACCTGAGAAGGAAACACTGATTACGTGACTGTCCAAGATTTAAATTTGCTATACACTGTGAGTGTGCAGCATGTAGTGATCAATAATATGCTGTATATTTCCTTGTATGTACAATAAATTTAGCCAATAAATGTGAATTACATAGCTGCATATTTCAGAATATTTGTTTTCTTCTAGGAATAAGCCCTAAGACTTTAGGTAAAATAGAAGATTAAAATATAGCATTTGATAAGGGGACTTAATGAAAAAAATCAGTAAAGATTTGAGTAAAGTTGCATAGTGCCTTGCATCTTTTACAGAACTTAGCCGGATTCCAACACAATAATCATAAACACATCTAACATGCTGCAATGCTGAAACACTTCAGGAGTTCAGTGTCTGGCAAAGGGGGAGGTGGATTTTGATAAGCAGTGCTGGCAGTGGAGCTAACACATGGCTGTACATTCCCAGAGCCCTGGAGCAGGGCGTGCAGAAAGCTCTCACCAGAAGGTCTGCTTCGCAGCCTGGATGACGCTCGCCGTCATTTCCACGTCGATGTAGTCGTAGTGCAGAGCTCCAGGGTCTGTTGAAGACCCCGTTTCTGCCAGCAAAATTCCAATCCATCTGCCCATGTCTTCTGAGGAGGAGGCCTGTGAGGAGAGGGCAAGAACGTAGGTCAGGTCTTTGCTCTGCCACTGGGCTGAGCGTTATTGCAAAATGCGCATTCTTCTTGGTTGACAAATTGCTACCACATGGTATGAGAGGCTCTGGTTTCATTCTGCTGAACTCTTAAAAACCCCAGGATTTCATATTAAATCTGCTTTGCTAGAAAGAGGGCACTTTAACTAAGCTATGTGCTCATCAGCTATGATGTAACACAAAGTGGGCAATCCACTAAAAAGACGAAAAAATAATCATTTAAGGCCACTGGATTTAGATTCAAGTAATGCTTATTTTAGACTTCAGAATATTGAAAGCTTTAACGTAATTATTTTCTTATGTTAGGCTGGAGGATTTTTGGATTGCATGACTCCTGAGAAGAAAGTGTTACTGTTAAACAGAAACAAAAGGGAAGAGGGAACAAAATAGTGAAGAGATTTTAACATTACTTTTAGAAAAATTTTATTACATTTGTCTAAATGATGGCATTCATCCTCCTGATAATAAGTTAAAGCATTAATACTATTAAAATAATTGAAGTTTTTTTCATATTTTGCTTCAAGTCACCAATTCAAAAGTTAAACAGTAGCAAAACAAATATTGGATTGAAGTAGCGGGGAAAAGGCAACAATCTGTCATTAACAAATATAGTGGTTTCTATATTTTTTATTTTTATGTATTTCATTGCTTTTCACAGTTCCTTGAGCTGTCTTCCAGACTTTCAAGTTCTCTGAACTGCTGTCATATAACAGGCCTGGTTGCAAGGAGAGCAGACTTGACGTGCAGTCAGAAATCCAAAGTCAGAAATCCAAGTGCCTGTCTTGCCACTGAAAGTAGGTTGCCTCCTGCTCATAATGCTTGGCTTTAAGTGTCTTCTCATTTCAGGTTTTACAAGATGATGAATAAAACCCCTATAGAAAGCCTGACCCACCTAACACAGACAAAGGTGTGTGCACATGAGGAGAGTCAAGAGACACACCAGGCTGCTGGCACTCTGCATTTTCTGAAATGCATGATTAATGTATTAATACAGACAGAGACTGAGAAAAAGGAGTTCCCATAAATAGCAGACAAATGAAAGTGAGGAGTTTTAGAGCTCTCATCAACAGTGATCCATTATTTAATTATTGCTAAGTTATTTACCCAAAGTAATTATATCTGTGATACAAAAGTGTGCCTAGAGAAGGAGCAGGGATATTCTAGCACGAGGCCATGGGGAGGTCAGTGCAGAGAAAAGTATTTTACTGAGAAGATTTCTGAACTACATTTAATCTCAGCTCTTTCTTTGTCTACAACATTTACTACTTCTTTCCTCCTTCCAATATTTATTGCTCAGCTCTGCAATAATATTATTCCAAGGGTTTTTTTTTTTTTGAATGGACAGACACAGGTTGTATGGAAGTGCTTCTCTAATCCACCTTGTGGGAGCTGCTAAAAGCCACAGCCATTGTACCTCGAGCACAGCGACCTCCTGCCCGTTCCGGAGCAGGCGGAAGGTCAGGGGATGCTTCGAATCCAGCCCCAGGATGACTTCACAGCCACGGAGTGGGATAGAAACAATGTGTGTCTTCAGATCTGTCCTGTCCTTGTGGAAAATGAGTTTATTGTCCTTCACTCTGCACCAGCGCTCGCGCCAGCGGTTATTAGAGAGCACGTTGAGATATCCTGCAATAAAATGAAATGTGAGATGTTTTACTCCTCACTTTTTCTGAAAAGGAAGTAAAAAAGAAACTCACTTCTCAATGTAATGCTAGCCTTTAAATAACTTGTTCCTCTTCTAATAGAAAGTCCAGATGGATTTTAGGAAGACAAGTAAATGACCCTGCCCCACTTCTTTTAATGAAAACTTTCACTGTGCCAATAACCAAGAAAAAGCATATAAATATGCAGCTCATGTGCGAACGGCTGTTCTGTGTCAGTCCCTGCAGCAGCTCCACGTGTAGGAGCACACAGGCCCGCAGGACTTCAGTAAGAATGGGAGAGGGACACTGATGAAAACAGTTCCACACACAGCCCATGTGCTCACTCTGCCTCTCTGTGGGCAATGACTTTGGTAACTGTGGCTGACCAGCTTTTTCTGGGAAAATCACAGCTCACATTATGTAAGTATGTACTGAGCTACCTTGTGTAACATCTAAAAGCACTGTTTAAATGACCTAGGAAGTGTTGATACTCTACGTTCTAATTACATTTAGAAAGAAGAATGCACATCTGGTTTGCAGCACTTGCAAACCAGAACTTAAAAGATTGTTAACTTTGCAAATAGAAATAAAATTCATATTGATTTAAAATTCAGGAAGTAATTATGATACAGTATCCTTACATATTAAAATGTCATTAAAAATGTTCTTTTAAAGCCACCCACTTTTCTTACCATGCTCCATATCAATATAGTGTCTAGGCATATAATATCATTAAACAGGCAGAGTTTTGTAGTTTTCCTTCTCTATGCCATAGCAACAATCATTCCAGACTCAAACATTACATTCAAAGCAATGCCTTTTTTTCCTGCCTTAGTACAGTTTGGAAATAGAAGGAAAAAAAAAAAACCAAACCAAAACCTTTTACTTTTGCTTCCACATTACAAATGGTACATGAATTCAGCATGTTGCTGCTTCCAAACAGGCTATGAGGAGGGAAATAAATGGTATCTTGCAAAAGCCAGAAGTGAGGTTAAAAAGTTGTCTTCTATCTCAGACATGATTTTCATTTAATGCTGTTGGAGAGCTCTCTCTTTGGTTTTCATTAAAACTATGACTTATTATTCATTTTTCTAGGTTTTTCTTCCAACATTATGGTTCCAATGTCAAAGTGTGATCCAACAGGATATAGCAGATCAGAATTGTGCACATCTTGGAAGGTGCTATAAAAAATGAGGATGTGCTTAATCCTCTGGTTTTGGCTCCTTGTGATAATCATACTCTTCAGCTCTCCTCCCTCCTCCTGTAACAAACCCCTGTATGACTGTGCATTGCATTACAGTCCCTAGAAATGAAAAAAGCCTTCCTGTACAAGCCAGATACTTGTTTTGGAGTGAGAGTTCTTTTTTTCAGACAGTTTTTCCCCTCTGCTCCCAGTTCACCTCTCAGAAAAGCTCTTGCAAATCTTCCTGCTTCAGAGTTGAACTACACAGGATCCCACTTTTCCCCTCCACATCTCTGCTTAAACCTTCACAAGCTGACATGAGCAAAATGCCTCCAGTGTGCTCCCTTTGGGGCACTTCAGCTTAATTGCAGGCAGTCCAGGAGCAGTGATGCTTTAGGCAAGAGCTTTGACTTGACTGCAACTGCAGGTGGGTTTTAGTTTCTACACTAGCTGGGTGACACCTGCAGCCCTGCTGGGATTTTCCCTTTCTTCATGGGAGGTAGAGCCTTCTAAAGTGTAAAAACCTTCAACTATGGAGCAGCCTCCCAGAGGGCACTGAACTGAGCCAAACTGCTGGTGGTGAGAAACTCCTTCTAGCCAAGACTTCCTGCAATGACCAAAGCCTAGACACTTATATACTTTCCTTTAAAATCTGCAAGTGGTGTTGAGTAGAGCCAAATGCAGGCACATAGTAAGGGCTGAATCTGTATTTATGTCCATCTCCAAACTAATGATAGAAATATGAGGAATTAGATTGTACAACAGTGGTCAACTTCTCACATAATGCAGAATAATCAACGGAGTATGAGAGCCCGGAAGTTTGAGCCCTCATGGAGGCCAGATGCTTCGGACAATGCATCTGGCTGGACACAGCTTTTCCCAGCTGTTCTTTTGGTCAATAAATCACATCTGTACTTAGCTGATGTATAGACACATATACACACACTTAGTTAATCAAAGTTTGCTTATGTGAATGATGTCCAAAGTGTGGCTTGAAAGCCACCTGTAATCCATGAATCCTCTCTGGTGGTCCATGGACCTGCTTCCATCACCTTGGGCAGGCAGCTAACACACTTCATGCTCCACTGACTTCAGCCAACTGCTCCCTAATCACACACTTCTGGGTTTCCCTAAACTTTTCTAGTCAATTAAAGGGTAAAATCCATATTCAGAATCTGGTGCAACTGTTTCAAAGCTTTCCAAGGAAATTTGTCTTTTGAAGGGATTGGGTGAACGGTGAGTTCAATCTTATTCACGTGTAAGTGTTACCTAATACTGGAGCACCAAAAGATAAACTGGAGAATGTAAGTACATTGCACTGTTTTAAAACAGCAGAGCTGTGAGGACATCAGGTAAGTGCATTGCACAATGTTTTAAACTGCGAGCAAATCTTAACAGATACAATACAAACACAAGTATTTTCTGCATGCCTTTTTATACATTTCCTTGTGCACTACAGCTGTCATTGGAATGGCCAAAATTAAGAGTTAAAACAGCTTACTAGAAATTTGTTACTTCATTTTGTCCAATATGTACCACTTTGTGAACTCATAATTAAACGCAAATCATTTTGGTTGAGGCCAGTTGACTGCTGTCTGCTATTCCATAAAACCTTAACCACAATCTACTATAAAAGACCTGATCACTTTCCAAGAACCTTCTTCTACTTTGTAGCCTCAATTTATTTCATAGTTCAGCCTATATTCATTTTATAACCATCTGTTTGAGAACAGCACTTGTTTCTTTATGCTTCTTGCTCACATTTCTCTTCCTCCTTTTTCTCACTTCTGCAAAGAGCAGTGATATCTGACCCTGTGTTATTCTTTTTATTAAAAAGTCAAATTGTTTTAGTCTCTGCAAATGACACACTCTTGATTACTCCTCTTGCAGTCTGGGTGCATCCTTCCAATGCTGGGGAAGAATTATTGCCGTAAAAGCAATTTTAGAAAAATTCCTAGGCTAGAATGCTATAAAATTTTAATAGCAACGTGCATTTAAAACTCAAGAAGAAAAACCACTTACCACATGTTGGAACATCTTCTTCAGCTGATGAGGTCTGTTCATCTGTTGATGGCTTTTTCTTTCCTAAACCAATGATCTTTGTTATTTTTTTCCCTGTTACTTTAGTCACAGGGCCCTTGGCTTCCGTTTTCGAACTTTTTTTCCTCTTCACTATTAAGAAAGCAGAAGTGTGTATTTAGTAGTGTGTGTACACCAACCAATAGAGAGAACCTAAATAAAAACAGAAGTTCAGACAAAAATATCCTATGCAAGACATAAGGAAGAGCAAAGACAAACAATTGTACAAAAGTTACAGATTTCAATGAGACAAATACAATATTCCCTAATAACCTCTGTGTTATAAAAATCATGGCATTCTGAAGGATAATACAAACGATCAATTTTGCAACTTTATTTCATCTAATCAAGCTTGAAGTCTCTTTCCACAGCAGTCATCATCTAATTTAGGAGTATGAGTAAAGTACCTATATATAAATTTAGCTCATTTACACAGAACAAAAATCCAGTCAGACACTTTTTCAGTGTTTTCTTCAGTGTTCCTAAATGTTTTTCTCAAAATACTTCAATAATTAAGTAGACAAAAAAGACAGAATATGCTTGCTTAGCAAAATTACTTCTTCTGTGCACAATTAGGTTAAGACATCTTATCACAATGGACATTTTAGAAAGACAAGACTTATGAATTAACTACTAAGAAATTAGTGGGATCAGTATGAATATTCCATAAGTTGGCCATTTTTGTGACCACTGGAAAGAAAAAGCTCTGCTGAAAAGAGGTATTTTGTTAACACCCAGTCTATGCTTCTGAATGCAATATGGCAAGGACTATGGATATGGTGTTTAGAAGTGCCTACCTGATTAAAACCCTAATACTTTTTTTTTTTTTTTAAGAAGAGTTTCTAAGAATAAACAGATTTAGAAAAAAACAAGCTTTTATTTGCAAAAACAGAACAAACAAATGTCAAAAACTGCATTCAGTGGCCTAAACTGTTGCCTGAACTAGCAGCAGAGCAGAAGTCTGCTAACTGACAGGGCAGCAAAAATTCCATCAACTTGCCCTGATATGTGATTTTAATGAACAATTAATTTAAAATAGTTACTAATTGAGCTGCTCTGTCTTTATCCCCAACATAACAATTCCTTTTGCAAAAGGGAACACTTAGTGGTTATAGACTTGCACAAACTGAGGGAAAAATTGGACAAAATGTTCACATGAGAAATGACTGTGTGAACTGATGAGCTGGGAAGAAGAATGCACAGCAGATAGAGAAGCAGCTTGGGACTCACCATGGGATAATTTATCACTTAGTTTAATTGTTAGCAATCATGGAACATTATTTAGAAATTTTATCTGTAGCCAAGACTATACGAATCTGCCAGTGCTGAGTGGGAAAGGCAGCCCTGGAAGTGCTGCCCCCAGCCAACTCCAACACATCCAGGTCTAATTATCTTTTTCAAGGCAAGGGTGCTCACAACCTGCACTGTGCTCTCTAAACATGCAGCAGGCTCCCTTGTTGGAGGGAGGAAGGGCACCCATCCAACCAGCTGATGAGCCCCTGCCGGGGGCACAGCCCCTGCCCTCAGACAGGTTTCCATCCCACACAGCAGCAGCCAAAGGCTGACTGTGGCTATTGAGGGGCAGACAAAAAGCACTGAAAAAAGCCAGAGACAGAAAAGCTCATTTCTCTGAGACAGAAGCCAAAAGGAATCATTCTCACAATCATGGACAGTGGAATAAGTCCACTGTAGTGTTTGTTTTTCTGTCCTGTCTTCCCTTTAAATTGCTGGGTTTTTTCCCTGCTGAACTTAGAGGCAGCAGAAATACGGCTTTCATGACTTAATCTTTTTGAGTCTAAAGAATATACTAATTGCCCAATTGCCAGCGATTTTTTTCACAAAAGCCTTTTATTCTCATTTCCTTCCCCACAGCAAAGCAAGCAGCTGGTTTAGAGCAGAGCAGAGGCTGGTGGTTGGTGCCAGCTGGAGACGATCATTCCCTGAAGCCTCCCTTCCCATGTAGTCCATTAAACACTTCCTATCCATTTCAAAACCCCATAGCACAACTTCATCAAGGACACCTCAGTCTTCTTGCAGTCATTAATGCCCATAATTTCTCCTACTATGCATTGGAAGTCAATTTTCAAAAGCCACTGGTGTTTTCAATGACCCTAAGCTGGGCTGCTTTTCCAGCTGCATCATCACACCTTCTGCAGGGTACCTGGGCCACCAGGTATTTCTGGACACCGTGGGCAACACAGATTTTGGGTCACAGATGATTCTCCACAGGTTTTTTATGAAAGCTTAATAGAAGATTTTTAAAATGTGAAAAAAAAAATGTAAAAATGTACCATGACTTTCAGAAAACCACAAACCATGACACTGTCCCATACTGTTCAGAGATCTGTATGGCCAGGAAATGCTGGAAAATGACCCAGAGAAGAGATAAGGGACAAGATCAAAAGGTGAGACAGTGCTGGCACCAAGGCCAGTATTGACATTGTGCTCTCTGCAGCTCATGTTACCCTTCACTTAACAGCAGCAGGAAAATGCTTCATCTAACAGCAAGTTAAGGAAGCCACAGAATTTCTTCTGCTTTGCAGAGGAGGGAAGGGGATGGAGAAGAGATCATAAGGGTTGAGTGCCTTAGAAATAACTTGGCCAGAACTCCTTCTGGATTTGGGATTTGCCTTTGTTAGATATAAGGACTGCAGAAAACACACGGCTCCAAAGTAGCATATGCAAAATTATACACTTATGTACTCAAAAACTCACTGATATTGCACCACTATATGTATTTTTAACATAAATAATCATATGTAACATGACAGTTTATATATGAAGGTGTCTGTGCACACAGACACATATATTTATATATATATATGCATGGTTCTCTCCTTCTAGTATTTAATGACAGCTTTTTTGCATAGAAGCTTTACACCACTATATTGTGTAAAGCTTCTAAGCGAAAAATATTTATATTGTCACTATACAGTTACTAAAAAACCTGTTATTTGCCTCTAGTGGCCGCCCAGGGTCTGAAAACCTGTGCTTTTGAACACAGAAAAGGCCAAATCCAAACTTCTATATTCTGTTTCCTAATAGTAATTATATTGATTTTACCTACACAATAACATCAAATGTTGCTACCAGAATTGAAGGAATCCTTCTTGACATAGCTCAGCTCTCAAGTTAAACTGAATCCTAATAAAACCATTCCAAAACTTTACATTTTTGGAAAGATAAAAGCAAGGTATTTCCCTTTTTCTCAGCACACATTACTGACACCAGACATACCTTGTTCTTTACCATTGCACACAGCAGTGATGCCATTTTCCACAACACCTTCCCCATCTGAGCTTGGCCTCTCAAACGACAGCTTCTGCAGGGGCAAAGAGATCAGCTGACATACAATGTTTGCACCTTCATAAAATCAAATGTCATGGGTCCCTTCAAAAATAGACTTACTATGAAATAAAACCCACTTTCAAGCTCTCATCCACTTGGAAGAAAATTATGAGATAGTAAAAATGTCAGTTTTAGAGGCTTTAGAAAATCACAGAAACAGTAAAATAGTATATCTTTGAAAGTGTATTAAAAATCAGTGAAATATTCCTAATTCACCACATATTTTAATGTATTTATAGACTCTAAATGTTGCAATAAAAAATTACATGTACCAGATATGAGTAGGGTAAAAGGCCATATCTTTAAAAATGCTCCATACATGCATTTGCAATTACAACTCATCAGAAAATAGTGTATTCCTACAAGGTCCTCCAGTACTTTCAATATGTGCAAAAAAGGCTTTTGAAATAATTTTTTAGCACTGATTATTCTGCAATGGTTATGCATGAGGTCTGGGTTCAAGTAGATAGAGCTTATGGCAGCACAGTTTTGATGACCACATTACTCAGAAGTGGTGAAGCCACGAAGCAGAGGTGCAGATTATCACAAAAAAGAATGGATGACCAGATAAACTACTCCTTTCCAAGGCATGCATTTTAGAAAAAAACCCTATTTTCCAACACTTTAAGTTGCTTTGTCAATACTGTGCAGGTGTGTGCAAACACAACAGCTTCTGCCTGTGGAACCAGGAGGTCTAGGCTCTCCTGGAAAAGTTCCCAGGACCAAAGCAACAACACCACAGGCTGTGGTGCACTGCCACCAGAGGGGTGGCACTTGCCTTTAGGCACTGGGTGATGAAGCCTCTGTCAGTGGGATTTTTAAGGAGGGGCTGCAGAGAGATTTGCTCATATGGATGCCTTACCGGAGCACAGGCTTAAACTGGTGCTGGTAATGCACCAATCATTCACTGCAAAGCTGCTCACTTCCCTAATTCCTGCTCTCACATCCTGCTGAGTCAAGGCAGTGGAGTAGCCAAGTACCACGTGTGAGCAGCCAAGTTTCTCTACTGAGACACGAATGCTTGGAAGAGTCTGCCAAAGCAGTGACCTCAGCATGCCCAGGGAGCCCTTCAAGGACTCAATTCCCCAAAATAAGAGACTTTCCCTTAAAACCCTGGTATAATCTTCCTCAAGAGTGACACCCCTGCTTGCTGTTTGCATTTGTTGCAGCCCATCTCTGCATCTCAGCACATGTACCCACCCTGCTATGGCTGAGGAGAAGCTGGACCCAAGCCAGCCTGCTGCTTGCTCAAGGCCCAACAAAGTGACAGGGCAGAAACCTCATCTCTGCAGGATGTGTGCACACAGCCAGACCGACACAACACAGGCACTGTGTGCCTGGAACAGCAACACAAGGCAGCAAGGATTTACATCCAGTGCCTACCAGTGTCTCTTTGAGTAATCATAAGAAATTTTACATTCATAATTTTGGTAGCTTTACCTTTTCCAGCTCCACTTTGTGTACTGGAGAACTAGATAACGGCCCATCAGAGTCCACAGCTCCTGTGCAGTTGCTGCACACATCTTTGATAACCTTAGGAGACAAGGCACAACTTATTAATTATTCATAAATACACATCAGAGTGATTAGAAATTATATACGGATGTGAAAGGAGATAGGAAGGAGAATCACACAGACATTTACTAGGCTGGCAGGTGTCAGGCAGGCTGACACTACAACTTCTCCATGCTCCCTCCCTAAGTCTTTTCATGTATGACCTGAAGGAGACATACAGTCTAGAGGTGGAAGGTTTCAGTTTCTAAGCAGACTAAGCTCCAAGGCTCTCCTAAGTGAAGAAACCAGTTGCACTGCTGATTTCCACGAGCTAATTTTGCAATATAAACTCAGCTGACACCACCAAACTAATTTCATTACAATTATGAGAAAATGGGATCCAAGGTGCCTCAAGCCAATAGACAAGAGTTTTGTATAAGACACTGCACAGATACTCTTTTTTGCTATCAGAGAACTAAAGAAGTGCTTGTTAGCTTAGAGTTAATACTGCACAGTAGTATTTTGGGGCATTTTCGTACTATAACTACACATTAACTTAAGAGTTAAAGGTGAAAGTAATTGTAAATATGTTTGTAGCAAACGGAAATGGCATTTTCCGTTCTAAAAAGTCAAGAAAAATCTTGAACTGGGAATTTGCTGGTATTTTATGGAATTCAAAGAACTTAAAAACCTGAAATTACATAAATGTAAAAATACACAATGAGTAAAGATGTTTGATGATTCCCCAGGGCCATAGCTAAGGGTTTAAGGGTTCTTAAGGGTGAATTACCACCAGCTCATCATCATCTTGAAACTGCTTGTGCTGATGAGAACAGGCTCTCCATCCAAGCTCATGCTGAGTTTCAAACTGAACAATTTTGATGTGGAAACTACTAAAAAGCAAAGGATGGCACTAAACATCCTTTTCCTTTCGCAGCACTTAAGCAACCTTTAAAGGTGAAGCTAAATCAAATCAAACATTTATGGGTTTGCAAAGACCCTTATGCTACTCAGGAGCACATCATAAATTACAGGCATTATACACCATAAAGAAAGGAAGAGCACCAGCCCCATTTTACAGAGAGAGAACCCAGGAACAAAATAATGATGAAATCATTCACTCAGTGACACACAAAAAAACCCTAAGCAAAGCTGGGAGATAAACCTACACTTTTATTTCTGAGCTAGAATCTCAAAACAGTTCAGCATCCTTTCCTGTCTGACCTACCCTATATTTCGTTCCAGAAACAAGACCAGCATTTCATGGCACTTGCTGTCCTTTGTAACAGAAAATGTTGATATATCTGTAGCAGAGCACCTCAGAATTAAGAAAAGCCCTGAACTCCCCAAAATCATGAGATTTTTTTCATATGTCTGGATTTTTTTTCAATCACTGGTCCTCAGTATGGTGTAAATACACTGCTGTTTTCCTCCTAGGGAAATGTGACTGTACAGTTTCTGGGAACATTCATTTCTGTCTCCTGCATGACCCTGGTTCAATAGCTTATGTTTTCAGCATCTGCTCACACCACACAGTTAGTTAATTTTGGCAAAGGCAGATTGTAATGGGAGTTACAGGCAGAACAGAGGGAAATGATTTGGCAGCACTAACTCAGGAGTATGTGCTAAGTCATGCACTCAAGTAAATCCAGCTCTTATCATACCCCACATATTTAAGGAGAAGTTGAAGTGCTTAATTGGGTTGTAATTAAATTTTGATTTAAAAAATGACACACTGTCCAAAGGGAGTTGGTGGCAGGATCTAAAGTAAATGCATATTCAAGGGTTCAACACCTCATTTGGGTTCAAAAGGTTCACTGGCAAAGACTTGCTCATCACCTTCCACGTGCATTATAATTGTGTTCAATGCACAGCACAGAACTCATTCTCCTCCACCTCACCAGGATGAAATGTCTTTAATATATAATGGTGGCCTGGATGCACTCTCTATAATTACGTTTGCAGACAGCTGCCATTAAAAATCTGGTTTTCACATGCATATAGCTTTAGCTCAAAATTTTAAGGATAAAACATTCCACCAGTATTGCCAACTTGCATCATTTCAATCACAAGACTCAAAAGTTCTTGTCAGTTTTTTCTATGTTCCATCTTCTGAAGCCATATGAAAACAAAAGATTACTATTCTCATTAAAAAGTAATTGTGAGTGAGAATGAGGAATGGAGTTCAGCAAGCTTTTATCCATTGCAATGAAAAGCCTAAAAATATGAATAAATGTATCTCAGTAGCTCCAACAAAAAGGGGAAAAAAAGAATCCCCAAAAGCGTCATTTTTAATAAAATGGCATCAAAGGGAAGGGTGCACTGAGAATACCTTGTAATGGCAAATATTCCATTGTTAGCTTAAGTTTTCTCACACATTAGGGAAAGGAAATAATTATCTTTTTCTCACCCCAAATGCCTTTGTACATTACAGGTACACACACACACAGTGTGATCTGCCAGGAAAATCAAACTGAGATCAAAAACAGACTATCTATTCAAATATTTAAAATATATGACCAAATGTAATCAGAAAACTGAAGACCCTGTATTGCTTTGGATAGCCTCAAAGCCAAATGCATTTAAAATAATCTTTTGCTATTCCATAGCAAGAATCTGAAGTACCACAATTACCATTACAATGTCACGATTAGCAGACTTCAGAATTGCCACTTTCAAATGCAGACCTGGAAAAACTTCTGTAACCTGAACTGTATTATTATTCCTTATTTACAGAATTATAGAATCATTTAGTTGGAAAAAAATCCCAAGATAAGAGTCCAGCTGTTAACCCAGCAGTACCAAATGCACCACTAAACCATGTCCCTAAGTGCCACATCTACACAGTATTTTAAATATCTCCAGGGACTGACTCCACCACTTTCCTTGGCAGCCTGCTCCTTTCAGTGGAGAAATTTTTCCTAATATCCAACCTAAACCTCCTCAGGTGAGACTTGAGATAGTTTTCTCTTTTCCTGTCACATGTTACCTGGGAGAAGAGAGCAATCCCCACCCTGGCTACAGATTGGTTCTCTCCTTTCAGGGAGCTGCAGAGAACACAAAGGTCCCCCCTGAACCTCCTTTTCTCCAGGTTAAACAGCCCCAGCTCCCTTAGCTTTAGACGAGGGCTTTAGACCTTGAATCCCCAGGTGGATCAGGATATAAATCAGAGTACGGCATTGACTGCAGGGACAGAAGGCACAGAGGAGAAATATTTGTAGGTAGGAAGCTGGAAAGATTCCCTGTCCTGAGCCATGGGTGAAGTCAGTGGAATTTCTGCCACATGGTGTGTCTGGAATATTTCTTTCTTTAAAACTATCTTACTACAGAAGCACTAATATTTACTATTAAAAAACTTACCTGCATATACCTACAAATTTCTATAATTCTTGTATATCTTATTTTAAAAGACACACCAGGACTGGAGGCAAAATACTTGCCCAACACTTATTCCACATGTGAAGTCAGAAAAAGTAAATTAGATTCTTCTGGCTACTTTAAAGTTCCAAGCTCCCGATAAAAAGCACTGGCTCTGTAGTAAAACCAGCTGCTTGCCAGCCAGTCCCCGCCACACAGAAACCAAACAAATTCTGAGTAAAAGTACATTTGTAGATAGCTCCTTATGGCTGATCTCTTTGGGACCTGTTAAGGAACAAGACTATAAGTTGTCCTGTGCTCGAGGAGCTTGCAGACCTCTCTCCTGGTGGATACCACGGATGAGCTCAAGCTACAGCCTCCCTGCCACAGGGCTGTGATTACAGCATTTTGTATCATCTTGTGTTCTCATGGAACTCCCATGAGGAGCTCACACTTCTTAATATGATAGAGTCCAAGACAGAAAGTCCACAGCCTGAGTGCACATTTGCTTTGCTTTATGTAATCCGGCCAGCCACCCACCCACTTGTCCTCCTCTGCCCACAAGTTTCACAAATACTGGAATTGCTAGCAATGGGATGGGCTGCATCCCTTGGCTCTGCCACTTAACTCTGGAATTAGGAATACGGCAAAGCTGAAATCTGCTTAAGTACAACACAGCACAGGGAAAAGGGTTTGGCTCCAGCTGTAAGTCAGTATTTCCCATTCCTGAAACACTCAGTTTTCACTTCTGGAAGAGTACTGACTTTCTGGGACTCTGTCATTTTGGCATGACTAAATCCTCATTTTCTCTTTCTTGTGGACTGTTCCATAGGTTAGTGTCAATAACCTCCTCCTTAGGAGAGGAGCAAAACTCCTCTTAGTGTTTTGCAGAGAAGAAATGCCCTGAGGAGTTCGCCTAGAGGAAAATCTTAGGCAGGAAATGCAGAAATTATTCCCATCATAGCCTGCGCTGTAAGTCTCAAAAAGAAACCCCCTTTACCTTCTGTCCTGGAAAACATTATTCTCAGATATCCCTTAGCCTGGAAAGATTAATCTTTCTGCCTTACTGCCATTTGTCTGAGCAAAGTGAGGATGAGATTCTGGCAGAGTAGCAGTCAGTAAGCCTTTCCTTAGTGCCTGTGCATCCCCTTAGGAATACTTTTCTGACTTACTCAACCAAGACAAGCCCTGTATCATTTCTCCTGCGTTATTGCCATGAAGTCCATTGCCATATATGGCTGCTGGATCAGGCAGAGCCCAGGGAGGAGGCACTCCCCAGAGGCTGGGGAGGGAGGCAGGAGGCACTGCTGCTCCAAGGGCAGAGGTGCCCTGTACCAGGGGAGCTGCATCCCTAGCCTGGGTGCTGCAGGGATGCACGTGGCACTTTGGGCTGTGAGTCTGAGCTAGGTGTGATTTAAATGATTTTCCATCCAAAGCTGTGAGTAGGAGAGAGGAGGAATCGTATCTAGTGGTGAAAGTCCCAGCCCTCCTGGGTTCTGCTCTGACTGCGACAGCTCGCGTTTGTGATTTTAGCCAGGAAACCCAAAGAAATATTATCACTGAGAAAACAAGTAAATAGGATGTTTGTGGTTCTGTATTTGTGGGTGGTTTGGTTGGGTTTTTAAAATTTACATATACATCTGGTTCTTTTAAATAATGTATTGTTTTCCATGGTGCTGGTCACACACAAACACACACACTGACTCTGGCTCACCGCCAAGCTGGGATCCTCTGGCTCTGCCCACTGGCAGAGTCCTGCAGACTGGTCAAAACTCCCTGTGCAGTTTGGGGAGTCCCCTCTGCAGGTGAGGCCCTAAACAGCTATTGTGCAAACTGACTGACCTTGCTGTGACTTGAACTGAGGTATTTTAAACCATCTGATTGAACAACAGGGGTGTAATTCCTGGGAGGTTTCATTTAGTTTGCACAGCCTTTGCTGCTGGTGATAATGGGCAGTGGAGAAAGAACCTGGCCCAAATGCCCTGGGTGATAGTACATTCTAAAAGTTTCTTACAAATTAACAAACGCTGCATGGAAATTACTAGCACCAAGTATACATCCCAAAAACCACGTTTTTTAGTCAGTTGTAAGGCTTGACCATTCAGCACTTGATTCTACTCAGCTACAAAATGGACATAATAACCTCTTTGGGGAGCATTACATAAGCCAAGAAAGAAATGCCTGAAGTGTAGAAGATCTCTAGCTGGAAATTCCCATAGAAAGCAAAAGCAGCCATACACAGTTTACAGTTACAAGCTCAATTTCATGCTCATATAAACTGGCTAAAGAACAGCTCTGTCAGTAGTTTACTCTTCAGTAAAACTGTCCACATAAAGACTGGAGGCCAGAAGTTACTTGATTACCTTCACTAAACTCAGGACAGTGAAAAAAAGGAGATGTTTTCATAGACTTTCATGAGAGACAACATGCAGTTAATCAGAGAGAAAAACTAGGTAGGTGAACCAGCTGAACAGCCCTACAAGGAATGTTGCAGAGCCTTTGGATGACTGGATACAGTCCCAACCATGGTTTTATTCTCTCTTCAGGGAAAAATATCCTCCTTATTATGACAAGTTCAGAACTGGCTGAGCACTGTCAACATGACACATGAAGCAATGTCTCCTTATGGCTGGAAGATTCACTGCTCAATTACAGACCCTCAGCTGGAGAGACTGCTGAACAGCAGCAGAGCACCATAAAATGCAGAGAAGCTAACTAAGGGTGCCTAATGCTGGGGAAAAATGAAAATCAAGGCCAGTACTCCAGAATGATAGATTGCATCTCATGCATGATAAATCAGAAATACATTTTTGCAGGAGGAATGTTAGGAGGAAGAGAAGGCCTTGGCACCAGTCACTGTGACCATTTCCTTCTACACCGTGACCAGTCTTCTACAACAAGTTACCTCAACTTAATTTCTTTGGCATCCATGTATTTTTAATATTGAGTGCAGTTTTCTGTGGCCTGGTCTGAGGGTTCTGCACACAGAGCACATTCATCCGTACAAACAAAGCCACTGAACAAGCATCCTCTTGTAAGGTCATGGTCTTACCAGTCCTTTTATTTTTAAATGCAGCATTTCCCAGGGAAGCTGACAAATAAGTGCAGTTTTACCAGTCTGTTGGATGTGCTGAGACAAACAGGGAAATTTCAGACCTTACTTGACCACAAAAGGGTGCGCAGACGCACATATATATTCAAGCATGCATGGAAAAAGATCATTTTTGGGTTAGAGTGTGTAACTGCACATATTTTTTTCATGTAGATTTTTGTGGGAACATTTTAGGACTCAAGTCTGGAAAATTCCACCACTTTTTGTTGCCCACCATATTACTGAGATGATCTCAGCTCTAGCCTGAATTTATACTAGTTTTGCTCCTTCCTCTGAAATCCTGACAGGCTCTTTGGTGACATCAGCTATCTGTTTTCATCAAGCGTTTGTTAGCTGGTAAATCTGAAACTCCCTTTGTGGTTTCCAGTCTAGACTTCAATTTGCACTATGTTTATCAGCTGGGGCTTTTTTGGTGTCATCTTTACAAAAAAAAAGGTCTAAAGTATTCTACATTGATTTAGAATTTGTCTTCCAATAGATATTTTAAAATTATTTACTTAATAAATATATTCTGAACTGATTATATACATGAATTGGAAAAAAAAAAGATTGGTTTAGCTTTCAAAGGACAATCTGGTCTCCAAAAACATTTTGAGCTGTTTAGGATCAAGTGTAAAGCTTTAATGTGACACTTATCATTTGGATTAATGAGAACCCATTGCTCCTGGGTGATAACCCGCCACAAGTGGCACACACTGGTGCAGTATCTTTGACCAAGAAGGCATCTTATGCTCTAAAAATGTGGTTGCAGAGTCCTTTCTCACTGGCAGTCTCTGGATCTGTCCATGCTATTAACTACAGAAATCACATGTAAGGGACAGAGCACTGGGAAGGACCCTGGCCCTCTGGGAGGGAGGCTGGGAAAGCTAAAACCTCCCAAGAAGCAGTGACCTCTTTCATAGTCTAAGAATATCTTACACAAAGCCACACATGATTTTCAGAAGCTAATTTTGAGTAAAACTTGAATGATCCAAACATAACTGCTTATATAATAATAAAAAAAATCCTTAAATTTTGGTGTATTTTAAAAAATACAGAAAGCAATGCTTATGGTATTTCTCAAAGGCCATACTTCTTTTGGAAAACACTGGAGCTGCTGCAAGAGCTGCACAGATCATTTCTGGTTAGCTGTGGGAAAGGCAGTTTGTACTGCAGAAGCAAAGGGCTGAAGCAGCACGGAGCACTTGGAAGTTGAGTACAGTAACAGTGCCATGTCCTTGAAAGATTTCATGAATAGAGAGCTTTGCAGCATGAAGGAGCTAAATAAAGTGCTGTCAGACTGTCTCCAAATGCTTTGCAGACACATAGAATACACAACTGTGTGAACATGCAACTGCACAAAATCCCTCTTTTTCTTCTCATTTTGAAGCAGCAGGAATGCATCTGGGATATGGAAAAATCTAGTACTGCTCTGTCTGCCTGTGTGGGGATGCTTTATATACAATTTAAAAAAATAGAACAATTTTTATGAAAGAACGTCTGATAGATGCCAGTGAGCTCAGTATTACTAAACCCGAATTTAGAACAACACAGGAAATAAGGGTGCAGTTTCTATGATCTAATTACAGCGGAATTCCCTTGGAAGGGAACATGACTTATGAACTTCTCTTCATTCCAATCAGTGGTTTTGAACTGCTAGCTGAACTAGTGGGACACTTGCATGACTTTAAAACTTAGGACAAGATACTGATGTTAGAAGAAGGCTAACAAATACATGGCTGGGATTAGTTGCCATTAAAATGACAATAGAGAATTTTCTAAGCCAGGATACAAAGTCAGAGTCAAAACCAAACACACATAAACCTCAAACCCCCAAAAGGTATATTCAAATATTGCAAAATAGGAAATTACAGATTAATTTTCCATTTAGTACATTAGCCCACAGCAGAATTTATACCGATTAAGCTGCATTTTATGTCTCCCTCTTCTGCAGAAAAACTATCTGCCATCAGGAAATTCCTATGTGTTTAATTCAATTGTATTTGGGGAAATACAATTTATTCTTAGAAAAATAAGTACCATATAAGGTTACATCAGAGCACAGCATGGAGAATGCCTGATGAGTCTGATGCATTCAGACTTATACATGCATTTAAAAGGCTGGATTTCAAGGTCTTAAAACAGTTGCTACTGCAACTTCAGTGATAGTTTCCCACACTACTTCACTGACCTCCACCTTTGAGACTGGCAAAGTCCAACATAAATACTAGTAATCTGGTTAGGATCTGTAACAGCAGCCCTTGCCTTGGGATTTTTCCATGTTTGCAGACACTGAACAGAGAGGAATGGAAGATGACAAAATCCCATTTTCTCCGAAGTCTACATTCACAGGACAAACCATAACAGATGATACGCTGCTAAACCAGAATTAGGAAACTTGAATGGCCTTCAGGAAGCTGAAGGATTTTTCTCCATCCAGAGCCATTCAAATAATCTTTTTAAAAAGGTGACACCATACCAAAAATAGTATTGGTGCCAGTTGCCTCCACCTGACGGAATTTGAACTTTCCACTCACCATGACTGTGCCTTAACCACCAAATCTTTCTGGAAAATGAACTGGAGATGGAAGGGAATTTGCCACCTCTCCTCTTTGTGCCAGATTATTGTGCTATTAGTAGTGAAAACCGTCACAGCAGCAGCACTGGGTTAACCCTGAGGAATCGCTTCGAGGCCTGAACTTAAAACCTGTATTTCTGCAGTCCCAAATTAGATGGGATTTAAGTTGTCTGGATTTGGGTGAAAGTTGCTGTCTGTGTCTCAGTTTGTAACAGCAACTGAGCAATGTGAACACTTCATGGGTAGAAAGACTCCTGGTTAGAAATCCCCCCTTACCTTTAGCCACTGTTCTGCCTGCTCTTTGCTCTGCACTGCCAGAACCAGGGCATCTGCTCCTTGGTGAGAGATTTTCAGCTCATGCTTCTTCTTTTTGCTGTCTTTGGGAATATAGGTGATACTGCAGTCATTCAGGAACAGCTCCATCTGGGGCTGCTGGTCCTTGGAGCTTTTGTAACACTAAATAAACATAAAGGAAGTTCCAGAGTTAGATATTATATTTTTGAACCTTGGGGAAAAGCTGTTATTACATAGAAATGCTATATTTTTAATTCATAGAATTTTGAATAGATTTTACACATCCCTTTGCCACATAGCACAGAGTTCAGCCAGAGCAAACTCATCCACTCTGTAAAGCAAAATTACTTCCAGACTGACAATAATAGATGTCTTTTATTGCAGGACAGGTAAAACATATGAAGAGCATTAAGTGTCTCTGCATTATCCTTATGACTCAACCTTGACCTTGATCAGGTAGGAAGAGGGTGATTTAGGATATCTGTTCACATGTAGCAGCAGAATAAACTTGTAACTTAACAAGTTTAAAGCTCAGATGTTTACCTTGCTCTTCAGCATATGAAGGCAAATTTGCATCAGTGCCTACACACTGCAACTGCAAAGACACTGGCACATGCCTTGCTCACCTGTTCATTTTCTTGAGATAAGTAAAAAAAGCTTCATGGAAAGTGGGTAAAATCAAACTTTTGTAGTTAATTCTGTCTAATAGTCCCTGCACAAATTTCTATGACTTCATTTTGTAAGCTCCTGGCTACAATGATGTACTTACACTTCTTCCCTCATCAGTAAACGCTGTCAATGAGCAGCCATTTCCTGCTGGGTCACTGATGACCTGCTCTCTGCTGGAACTGCTGATCTGAAGACAGAGGGCTCCCTCTTTACATCACTCATCCTACAGACTCCAGTCTCCATTCCCACCTTCCAACCCAGCACTACAGTTGAGGCTCCCAAAGAACAATGTTTAACTCTCCATACAAATGTCCAGTTACTTTATATACTTATGTAAATTGGGCTTTCACTCATACAAATAAGCACTAAGGCCAAAAAGACATCTGATAATAAAGGGGTCTCTGATAATCAGTAAGATTAACTAGTATCTGCATACAAAGAATAGCTGAACATTTATGTAAACAGAGAAAAGCACATGAACTTCTGCACGTCTGCAGCAGTATTCACGCCAGGATGCAACTGACTGGAAGACAATTGATAAAAGTATGTTATAAACACTAAAAGTTAGGCTGAGCAAATACAGCCAATTTTAAACCAGCCTCTGCAGATCACTGACAAGCCTTCCCTCTCCAAAGCCCATTACACCAAAGTTTCTCCAATTTGGTCACGGATTTTTAATTAGCAACATTTAAAAAATACTAAGTTTTCAAGCTATGAAATCTGGAATATATACAACATTATTCACTTTAAGAACCAATAAACAGCTTGTAATTCCTTTTATATTAATCCAAATATTTTATTTAAAATTATACATTGCTAAAACTGAAGTATATATATATTAAAAGACTTTAAGTGAAAAATGAGTCCCTAACGGACTTTAAGTGAAAAGTAATTCCCTACTAAAAGTTATGTCTAATGTCTAATTCTAATTAAAATATTTTTGTTTTATGATGACAGCTGCATTTATGACACAAGCAATTACTAATCCCTAAGAACACATATTTGTTTTACTTGCATATCTCATAAGTTAACTGTCCAAGTCCTCCTTCAAACAATAAACCAATCTTGTGTAACTTGGTTGTTAGACTCCTATTGTGACTTTTATTTTCTTAATCCCATTATAGAATTACTGAAAGACGATCCCTATAAGGGAAAAAAACCCAGCTTTTCGGACCACACATGTGGGTAAAGGAAATGAAAATATAAAGAATAACATATTTTTATATGGAACAATAAATGTAATTGTAGAACAAATGCTGTATGACTTCAGGGAAAAATCTGTTTCTCTGTCTCTTTCCTTTCTTCAAGCTGCTATCAGATGGTGCTGATATTGGATATGATACTGATATATGGTGATAAAAATGTGCATTAAGGATAATGGCATTATAAGAATATAATAAAATCTGAATCAGAATGAACTTTTTTTTTAACATTTAAATACAGGAGGGTACAAAAATTAAAGCCACTGCAAACTAGCAAATTCATTCCAAGTGTATTTTCAGAAATCTCTTACCTCCATGTCTTATCCTGCTATTTTCTATACTGCCATAAGCACAAATGTACTTGGAAAGCGAACACAGCTAAACTACATTGTACCACCTAGAACAGAGAGGTTCTACAGAAAATGTTCTATGGCCTGTTAACCAGCTTTTAACACTGGGGACGGCGCAGGAATTGTTATGTAATTAGGCACATGGGCTGGAAGCACCACATCAGAAGGCAGGAGCACCGAGGACCCCAACTTATTGATTAATATAAGCATTAGTTTGCTCATAACAACACACAGTAAATGCTTCCCTCAATTAAGGTCTCTTTTCATAAAACAAAAATGCATCTGTGAGCAGATAATTCATGGAATCTTTCACTGGTGCCTCCAATGAGAAAGAAGCATAACAGATTTGCTTAAGGAATAAATACATCCACTTGTTTCTGTCCCTTTTATAATGCAGCTGTGCATCATGTGAATACTGCATCATAATTACTGCAGAACAGATGGCAAAGGTTTAGTTTAAAGTGTGTACATTACCACAGCATATGCTGCCAAGTGAATTCTCAGTCCAACAAGGGACTTTTCTCTCCAGCAGTCTGATCCAACAGTTCACACACAGAGCTCCCTATGAGATTTTTTTGTCCGCAGGGAATGAAAGACTGGATTTACAGTTTCAGCAACTATTTTTTTCCAAATTAAATATTTTAGAAGATAATGGGCCAGATGTTCGTTCCAATATCAGAGAACTGCTGGGGTTCAAGCTTAAATGAAATAAAAATCAAAGTTCTAAGTGGTGAAATGATACACTTATAATTTCAGTGCTTTTCTGCTTCTTGGGTAAATCATGACCAAACTCTTTGGTAAGGTTACTGCAGACTTGGCCACTGTTTGCAGAACATATTCCAAAAATCAGATTCCTGTGAAAATAAATACATCATCTAAAAGGTACAAAGAAAATATAGCTAGCTGAAAATAAGAATTACCAGTAGTTTGTTTTCTTTGATAACACACAGTAGTTTGGTCCATTGCCCAAATCGTTTTTTTCTAAGAAGGAAGGCACAGATTTTGGCATCCTTCACCAGATCCATAGAGGCTTCCTCAGAAGGCCACTGATGTCTCATTTTCTTCCCCTTTCCATCCTCCTCTTCTTCATCATAGGATTCATAAGAGCTGCTCATGGCATCTGAGTCATAATCTTTAATAAAAGTGTAAAAGTCTTAGGTTAAAACACTTAGCCATGAAAGCACACTGAAAACCTCAAGAAGGTTCATTTTAAGCAAAAGCTTTTGAAAGTCAGCCACGAACAACTTACTGTTTCAGTGCTTAGTAATATCAATGCATTACTTTAATTAAACATAAGACACTTTGCCAAGACCCACACAGACACCTTGTGAATATTAATGAAACAATAAGCTGGGAATACATAGCTAGAATTTTAGGTAGTGTTTCATCAGCTTTAAAATATTATTTGACAGATAGCTTCATTTTCTGTAATTCTTTCACACAGAAACATCTTCATCTTGCTTAGTACATCACAACGAGAAACAAACACCCCATATGGCAAAGGTCATAAGAATACATTATGGGGCAGGATCTATCCACCATAACATTTCACATAATTCCCAAACACAAGTAAGTAATACACACTCTTCTTTTCATCTACATGCAAGCACTTATTTACAAACCAGTTACAGGGACTTGGGAAAGTTACAGTTATTTCATTTTCATGACTATGTTCTGCAATTTTCTTCAGTGCTTGTTTACTTTTACAGGTAAGACACATGGTATGTAAGTCTCCTTGCTATTAATGACATTACAAAAATATTCCATGGGAATGTTTACTTAAAATAATTATATCTATCCCAATAGATGCATTCTTGGACTTCTTCTACTTCAAGCACTTTTTTCTATTGTCTTCTCCATCTCAAATACTCCAAACAGCTAAGGTTACATCTTTTAATATACTTAGGTAGTTGATTTTAATTACCACACAACTGGATTTAGTGGACATTTGCATGAGTAAAGATGTATTACTAATTGCACAATCAAATTTAAAAACAAATTCATTACCAGTGAAGACAGGAATTCTTTTAACACAATTTCTAAGATATGATAAAGTTCAGAACATAAGAAGATATAACAAAATCTCAGCAAGTGAGATGCTAAGTCACACAAACAGAGCTTTAAATGTCTGGAGATTTATATATACACTATATATATATGTGTGTGTGTATATATACACACACATACACTTAAATTATGGAATTATTAATGAACTTTTAAGGCTGATATCCTAAATATTTTTATGCATTTAAATGGTTAAGTACAATAAGAAATCAGCTTCATATTTTGTCTTGTTTTTCCCTAGGTGATTTTTCAGCAGTGCTATTAATATTTGCACAATTAATATTTTTCTGCCTGAGCATGGCTCTTGTTTAACACCAAAACCCAAGTCAGAAGCTCACTGGGTTATAGGGTGTAGCAGGACCACCCTGCAGCATTTCAAGGGAGGAAATGAAGAGAAGAGTGATTCTGCTGCTCTTCTAAGTCCATATGTTCTTTCATTTGCTTTCCAGCACAAGAAACTCTTTCTTACCTTGAATTTCTTAGGTTAATTAAAAGCTGCTAGATAACATCAGTTTGTGCAGTATACAGATAAATAGTATTTTAGTTTTAAGGTGACTCCTATGCATGTTTTAAGAACAGAGAGATAATTTAAAATAATTAAAATGGCTATAAAATAGGGGAAGATATGCCTTTAATCTTTGGACCATAGAAAATACAGATTAGTGATAAATCAACCCTACACAAGTAATAAATTACTCCAGCCAATAAAAAAGCAGCAAAAATATGGTACATAAGTGACCCTGTGTAAAGGTCACAGCAGTCATTGCAGTGATTCACCAGGGTGCTCTCAGCACAGCTCCACTGGAGAGCACAGATCTTTGGGGAAGTATTTGGGTGTGAAAAAGAACATTTGGGTGCTGCAGAAGGACATTCTGGTAGACAGCCAGAGGCAGCCTCTGCCTACTGCCCTGAATGAGTGGTCACAAAACTACTGCCACGGCCATCACGCATGGCTTGTGGGAGCTGCTGTGACAATGTGTCATCAGAAATGCTGCAAATCACATCTTTCCAACAGTTCCTTTTTTTATTTTTTTCCTTTTTGTCTATTTTAGCAAGCAATTCAGTGTAATAGAGGCACAGCAGGCAGATGTGCAGGTCAGTACCAGTTTCTGAAACCTCCACATTCACAGTGTGATCAGTTTAGAGGGGTTTACTCTGGGCAATATTTAACTCTGGGCAATATTTAAGTCTGGACTCCTGGTTCAGTGCCCCCATTGTCTGTGGTTCAAAGCAGTCTAAAATGTTAATGGCTAATTTGGACCCTCTGTCTGCAATAGCTGCTGAAACCTGTTTAGGTGCTCCTCACTTGAGTACTAAGTTTAGTTGTCTGTAAAAGGAGCCTGGTTTGAGCACACCGAAACAGTTCTGCAGACCAATCCAATGCACACCAACAGTTCTGCAAACTATTCCAATGCACACCAAAACAGTTCTGCAGACCAATCCAGTGCACACCAAAACAGTTCTGCAAACCCATCCAATGCATGGCCAGCGAGGATAACCAGAACTGGCCCAAACTGTTAAAAGTAACTCTTATGACACATCACCACAGCACCAACAGAGATGGAGTATTTGAGACTGGAGAGATCTCAAATAGTAAAAATGCTGAAGGACACTGGAGTTACCAGCTGCTGAGAAACTGCCTGGAAATATCTTACTCACTGGAAGTGATGTACTCAGGAGCCTTCCCAGGACTAAGTGGCACTGCCTCTTCGTAATAGCCTTCAGGAAGCGAGGATGTTGGCAGTGGTGGAGGCCCATTATCTGGTGGCTAAATGAAAGAAAAAAAAAAGAAAACGTGATTACAGACCAACAAGGTGTTAAATTAAACACGGACAGAACATCTGCTCATGATCAGTGCCAATGCAACCAGCTTCATAAACCGGCTCTTGTGACTGTTCCTTACATTAACTATCTCTAAAGGCAAGGTTCTGGAGGGCTCATTAAGATGCTCTGCAAGGTGGCATCTATTAGATGAGAAGCAAGCCCAAATCTCAAGTTCCTCATATGCTGTTATAATTAAACAATAATAAGTAAAGGTTGAGACTTGAAGCAGTAAAGCAACTTAATTGTGCTTCATAATTATGCTGATACATTTTTAAACATATCATTATTGTCCAGACCTTTACCTCTAGTCATGATAAGGAAACAAAACCCTTTTGCATGTCCTCCAAGTGAGTCCTTTTATAAACACTGTAGAATCCTACTTGTCATTGCTAAGGATGGCAAGATCAATGTAACAGCTACATTAAAATATTTTTTCTCTACAACAGCATTAAGTGGTAAAAATGTTGAAAAGATACAGTTATCCATTTTAATCTAATAGGTCTATGTGAAAGAGATTTCTATGCACTCTATTTCTATCTAGAGATTTCTAGACCACTTTACAGTGTTAAGGCTAATTCATTAGCATTTTACACCTAAAATAATTCACATTAGAGCAGCATACAGCAGTTTGGCTGGACACTGTAGAAAAGTTAAATAGCCTGGGCTGGCAGAGACTAAGGATAGAAAATTAAGCCATATTTTCATGATAGGTGTTTCTTCAATGGCACATGAATTCTTAATATACATATTAATGTTTATAATGCTATTTCTACATAGTGAAAAGTGATCTACAAACAAGGAAAAGTTGGAAAAATCAAGAAACTATTACATGATAAAATAAATATGTCAAATAATACGTCAAATTCTAACATGATTCTTTTAAATATAAACCTGTTTTTAATTTAAAACCGACCAACTGGTGGTATGTTGATATAATAAACATTTTTTATAATGTTGACAAAATAAACAATTTATAAAAGTATATTTAGTACTCTGTGACTTCTTCCACATGACTGACTTTACTGTTCTATTTCCTTAACAAGTACCCAAACAACTGTATTTTATGGAACTCATTCATATTTGCCCCAGGTTTTTAGTTTTGTATTTATGTGTTACAGAAAATACTAAAGCCTTTTTTCAGCAGCAGTAGTTTATTCCATGATTACAAAAAATTAACTTGCAAGCAGAATTGCGTTTCTGCAGTATCAGTTTTTCAAATTTTTTTTTTTTTTTAAATGGAGTGACAGAGATGCATTGGTGTTTGTCTGCACTGGACTGATCCAGTGTAAACTAAGGGAATAAAGGGAGATACTGAAGTGAGAACCTGGTCAGATGAAGATACTTTTGGGCTGTACCTCAGGGGGCTGACCAGTCTAGCAGAGCTTCTTTCCACATCACACAGATGAGGCCACAGGGACTGTGCTCCTCTTTTGCTACAGACCTGAAGTTACCTGGGAGGAGCCTGAGCTTTAATAACATGCGCCATTACCTGTACTGAAATTACTTCTGTGGGCACTTTCAGGGCTGGATTCATCTTTGAATATTTCAAAGCCAGACATCTCCAAATCTCATTGGTGATTACACACCTACACCAGTCACCCAATTCCTGACACCACCACCAAAGGAGTCCCTCCCTTAGAGTGCTCTGTAGTCAAACTGCTATGAAGTAGGTTATTCCACCTTGCAGGTGAGTGCTTGTGCATTCCCAGAGTGCAGGAAGGCAAGGAGCTAGTGACTAACCCTGCCCTTCAGCTCATCCAGCATGGACTTACCTTGCACACCAAGTAAAATGAGAAACTTTCATGAACAAGAACTGATTCATGACTGAACACAGAAATTCCTGGTCAGACTGAAATTTACACTAATATTACTTCTATTAGCAAATGGTACAGTCAACTTCTTATGTCACAATCCATTACAAATTACAGTTGGCAATTACTGTTAACTATAATGTGAGCCAAATGGGATTTCCTCACAGACCAGATTTGCTAAAGAAATTATCTGTCAAAGAAGCAAAATAAAAAAAAAAATATTACTTTTAGTGTAGTGATCCCATAATTTTGCTGAAAAAAAATCAAATTGACAACCTGCACATCACGACAAAATAAATGAGTTTTCAAGGTTAGCTGCTACTGTACAACAGCCATAAGGGACATTAAAAATTATTACATATTCATTGCTGTCAGAAAATTGACAGCAATTATGAATTGCTGTACACATATCACCTCTGTGTAGCCTGAAGTGTAGACAAGAGGCAGAACTGCCTCCAAAGAGTTGATTTTCCACCTTCACACAAGTGGGCAGAACCTTGTTCTTGTTAGCTGGGGTCACAGTTTGTTCCTGGGGCAGTATAGATTCATACCACCCTTTTCATTAGACAAATTAATTTCTTGGTCTAGCCTTAAACCATTTTTTCCATCAGGTGCATACAATATATTAAATTCCTATCATTATTGAACCTCATTCACCCAGGAAATACGTGTTCTGAGTCATTCCAATTTTGACTTTACACAGCACCAAAGTTTCAAAGCTGTATTTTATCCTGGGACAAATGAGAAGCTCCAATAAAGATCAGGAGGAAAAAAAAATCCTTGTTTTTAGATGAAATGTTATTCAGAAAGAAAGAAAAAAGGAAATGAAACACAAATGGTGCTTGTCTGATTTCGACCCTGCTGGAGCACCAGTTACTTCATAGAGCTGGGGCGGGCTGGGCTGTGCAGCCAAGGTCAACACAGATGGAATCCATTGCTGAATTAACTGGGCCCTCTTCTCTGAAATGCATTTTGCAGTGCTTGCCATAACAAAGTTGAAAACAATTATAATTTTTTTTTAAAGGGAGAAAGAGAAACATCCAACATTAAATACTTTCTGATAAAAGTGGGGCTGCTTTAATATTAAAGAAAACCACAATTGATTAAACACAAAATAAAATCTCACTCAAATCTGTACCATGAACAATATCTTTTGGCAGCTATGGAGTTTATGAGTTTGACCACCAAGACACGTAAAAACATATATGTGTGCATTCTGGTATTAGTTACTAATGTTTATGGTTCTTTAATGTTTTTACTATTGCTAGTTGTATTGTTTCATTCTTTCCACTCAGCAATTTTTAGTGGAAGAATTTTGATGAAGTTATGAGTTATGAATTAAGTATTTATTCAATAACTTTTCTATAGTTTACCTGAAAATATAAAAAGGCCATAAACCCCACAAAATTATTTACATATTCTGTAAAGAGATTAAATAAAAAAAAGACCAGAACATGTGTAGCTTGAGTGGTATCAGGAGGAAAGACCTGGCAACCTGCAAAGAAGACATCAGCATGTCTTTTCTCCTTTTTTATTTGTTTTGTTCTGTTTTAATGAGAGGCAACAGAGAAAAAAACCTAGAGAATGTTGCCACTCAAGATAAACCACCTCTCTCAGTCACAGGAGTAAGAACTGAGAAAAGAAACTGACATTACTTTAATCTCCTTGGAGGAAAAGGGACAAAGTTGTAATATGTTGTTGTCCAGAATAATAACAGCAATAATGAATCAGTACTGATGAAAACATTTGTCAGGTCCTGGGTCTGAGACCAACTGGGAGCTGCTTTAATTGAAACCAAGAAGCAGATGAGGTGATCATTACACTGCAGAGTTGAGATCTCTGATGAAATTAGAGACTAGATTGTGCACGGGATGCCCAATTCCAGCTGACAGGATTGATTGTTAAGAGAAAGAAACAAAATGGTAAAATTTGTTATCCTACTGGACTCTGAAACAGACTTGTATGGACATTTTAATTTAATGGCATATTATGATCTTCCCCTCCACCTGCCCACCTGTATTCCACAGACCACAAATAAACTCTTTCTTCCTTTATCCTAAGAGATACTCTACTTTATTTCCCCCCTTCTGTTCAAGGGTACTGAGCAAGATGGACAGTAACATTTATTTTACAGATGGTCTATCTGATAATCTGGTAACAATATGGAAAGCAGTCTGAAAGACAAAGGAAAATGTATAGAAGCCTGAGGATATAAAATCACTTCATACCCCAATGAAGACTTACACTCTGTAGAAAATAGAAAGAAATACCTTCCTTTATGCAGTGATTTAGGATGTGGAGATTCCAGTGCAAAGCAGTGAGTTTAGCAGAGCCTGTCAGTATCCTGTGCTGCAGGCAAACACTTTCAGCTGTGTTACTGCATCAAGCACCAGTCTGGATCCAGCTCATACACAGCCCCTCAGTGCTGAAGGCAGCAACAGGAGAACAGAAAAGGGGTCACACACTGGGCATGTCCAAGAAAGCTGCTCAGGAGCCAGCAGGCAGATTTGGGCTGTCAAGAACAAACTTTGAGACAGGCAGATGTCATTTACTCTGGAGCAAGCTTAGACCTGACCTCTGCACAACCCCACTGCATCTTCAGCCTGGAGGCAGGGGGAAGAGTATGCACACATCTATGATCCCTAACTCCACATGTGCAGAAATGGATGTCCACAAAGCAAGATGAACCAACAAACTAGGTAAAATGCAATTCACAAAATTACTGAGCATACATTTCAATCAGGCTTTTTTTTTAAGACTGTAAGGGTTGGAAACTGGGCATTAGTACTTGCCATGCACTTGGTATGACAGCTCTTAAATAAATTCAGAATTCTGCTAAAGAGAATTCACTATTTATTTCCAGCAGTTGAGGAGCTGGATGGACCTTGGATTTATTCAGGACAAAAGTGCTGACTTTGTGGGACATTAAGATCATTTTAAGCTCTGCAATATTAGCCTGAGGGTAGACAAGGAAAAGCTGAGAAATATTCTTCATTTGACCTCTGCTTCTTATTCTAAGTTTATTATTTCTGAGCTTGTCAGTTGGAGACCACAAAACCGGGAGCCAAGTAATGTGAACGAATTTCACATTACTTGTCTTCCCAGCTTCTGAGCACAAAAGGCAGCAAAACCA